GAATGGGCAAAGGTGATTTTGAAGAATATAATTGTTTTTTTTTATAATAATGTTATTAAAACAATAGGGATGATGACAGGGTATGAAAATGTAAAATCTAATTAGTCCGTAAGTTAGGTAATGAAAAAATATTAGACACTTATTTTTTTTTATTTTGTCGTATAATACAACAATACTTAGATAGAAAAGTTTAGGAGTGGGGGCTAAAACGTCATTTCTACATTTAAAATGTACATAGAAGTGACGTCACGCGACATTTTAAATCAATATATCGTCGAAATTATTCGTTACTGTAAAAAAATAAAAGTACGTGTCTAATGATTTGAAATAATCTACCAGACGGGCATTAAAATAAAAATTAGGCATCTACCCTATTGGAATGATAAAACTGTCAATTTTCACAATTTACTAAGTGATAAACTGTTACCTTACCACTTTGGTATACATTGGGAAAGTAGGCTTTCCGTGAATTAGCAGACTCTGAATATACCGTTGTTTGTCTCAAGTTTAAATTAGAAACACCGACACAATAATTCAAAGCTTTCTTGTCTGCTTTGTACAAGTTTTAGAAATACTTAAGCGTACGAAATATGTGTATTTTAAGTTATTAAATGGGCGTTGTAATAAGAAATTTAGTATTTTATAATAGGTAAAGGTGTTTGTTTATTCTTATGGGTTACAAAATGGTTGTAACATTATAAAGTTATAGACGAAATCAGGTAAGTCCTTTGACTAGTAATATTACTTTTGTTACTAACTATTGCCCGGGACTTCGTCCGCGTAGAATATGAATTTAAGAACATAACATTTTTGTTTCCTATTTCCAAAATAAAAGTAGCCTATGGTAGCATAGGTTTTATTGGCAACGCCAATAAAAGTTGCAAAATTGGTTCAGCCATTCTAGGTTAGCCAGTACAAACAGACATACAGACAATATTTGTAAAAAATGCTATTTTAGTAAGCGTATCATTTGCGATAATATCATGTATTAAAAAGCGGTTATTTTAATATTACAAACAGACACTACAATTTTATTTAATCGTATAAATATTTTATGTCGCATAAACTATACTGTAAAGTGCCATGATATAAGTCAAAAAATATTGAAACAAAAATTATGCTGAAGTAAATACTTTTTAACAAAGCTTCTAGACACTAGATGAGTCGCGGAGAACCTAACGGGTAACCGGGGCTCCGGCTCGAAGTGCAGGAGAAGGAACGGGGTGGTTTTTAGTCAGTCTGACACTCCCTCACGCCTCACCCAGGCGGGAAGCAGTCATTCGATGATTATCGGGGGGATAATCATAATTAAAAAAAAGAAAAAAGAGACACTAGATGAATCCTTTACTTTTTCGAAAATCAATGACACAGTAACAACAGTAATAATAGGTACTTCTAGTAATGTAAACTGCAATGTTTGCAGAATATTATCAGCATGGTATATTCATAAGTGTATAATAAAACCATAGCATTAGAACGACTTGATTGCACGGTCGCGATGGCTGGGCAACTGGCTACCGTGCAACGTGTCGCGGGGTCGATTCCCGCACGGAACAACTCTGTGTGATAGATTGTTGTTTCGGGTCTGGGTGTCATATGTATGTGAACTGGTATGTTTGTAAACGCACCCACTACATAGGAGAGAATCCTAGTGTGGGTATTAAAACTAAATATATTGACTAAGGCACCAAGTAAAAAAAAATAGAAGTAATTTTTAGGAATACTGTTAACCAGTAAATGAAACCTTCATTTTTCGAACATCTATAACCCAAACCCTAGAAAGAGGTAACCCAAGACACATAACTATACAGAAAATTATACTCAGAATACCATCTCATAGTAGCTTGAACAAATTATGAAAATGAAACAGCACTGCAATGGAAACAAAGACGTCAGCCTAAGGCCATGTCGCTAGCCTATAGAAACTCTAATAGACTGGAAAAGTCATTCAGTTCCAACTCATTATAGCTCAACTGTCTGTCTGTCCGTAATAGTTGTTTTAATAGGTCTGTTTATAACAAGAAAGTTAGGGGTTAAGGATATAAGTAGTTTTGTGTACTATAATGTCACTATTGTATATTAAAATAGTGTATTAAAATAATTAAACTGTCAAACACCAAGCGGTCACCGGTGACCGCAACCTATTGTTCTTTAATTGTATCTATAATGACGGTACTCAACGAGTTAAATAGATTTATTTGGCTTAGTTCGCCAACCCTGTTGATTGATAAGGGTTATTGATAATTATGGGCCCCGTGTTTGGTTTAAAACTAGTTGACTAACATATATCGAGTCTTCACAATGTTCAGAAACCACAAAAAAATTGTAATTAGTTCACCGTTGGTAGGTACCTACTTTATGAGTGATTCAATTTTCTGTCCTATAATAATTATGTATAATGATGATAGGTTATAATTTTTAAAGGTAAGATGGGGTTGCCATCAAAAATAAAAAACCGTTTAAAAAAATATGTGTCGAGTAGTGACGTATGTTAGCTATTTCCCTTATTGAAGTTACGCAAGACAACTAAAGTAATCTAACATCCCATATGCAATGGAAGTTAGAAATAAAAAGCAAAAAATTCTATTGGAAAAGGTACAGATGTGTAAACCATAAGGGAATAAATTATCATAGAGAACTTTTCCCATTCAATTCAATATTTACCTTAAAGATTTCTCCTTTCCAAACCCATTATAAAGATCCGTATACTGTTTCAAAGAAGTATACAAACACAGTATAATAAACAAAAAATATCAGAAATTTCTAGACGGCTACATTCCCTTTACGCTTCGTTCCAATATTTAATATCAACCTTTTTTCTTTCACTAAGCTTCTCATCCGCCATCTTGAATTCGATTCAATGATTTAATTTACGACAAATTATTGGTGTTTTATTCAAAGTTAGAGTTTTTTTTTTATTTCAATGTTAAATCTTTGCAGTTTATAATATTAACAAATAACGTATGACAGTCCACTTATAATACAGTCGCAATCTTATGTCGCACGTTTATGAAAAGTAATCGTTTTAGATTTATTTATTTTGAACTCTATTCTTGTAGATATGAGCTATATGTTTGGATCCATTCGATAGTAAAGACTAGTTTCATCAAATTTCTTTTATGACAATGTGTTCTATATCACGAGACAAGAGAATTATAATTTTTATTTGTTAGGACTTTGTTAAATATTAACGGTTCAATCATATTTTGAATCATATAGCTCTTAGGTAATCACAGAACGAACGGTAGCGTTCGGCGCTCTGATTGGTCGGCTCAAGTGAACCAACCAATCAGAACGCTTAACTCGCTTGATACTGTTACGATACGAATGCGTTAGTTATTCGTGCTTGGCCCTCTGGTTGCAAAAACGTTATTCAAAAAAAAATGTACCTTCGTGGGATTTTCTTTTTCTTTTTAAGTGTTGTAGTACAGAACTATTCCTTGAAAAGTTGTTTCTGAACTACAACATGTACTAACACACGTACACTCGCTCAACAGTGTAAAAGTCTTTAAGCTAGAACTCGGGCTTGAACTCTCACTAATTGACTTTTACTATTTCAAGCGAACTTTATTCTGGATCCTTTTTGAAAAAAGGGTCCATATCTTTTTTATACAATTGTAAAGTAAAAATCTTAAGTATGTTGAGAAGTTGTATGTTATGGGTCCCATGTAATAGGGGGTGAGCCTACTGCCATATTGGCGCGACGGTGGCGACGCGTAGCGTTTACAACATTTGCGGAAACTGTCAAATAATAACAATGTAAACATTACCCATAATTTTCTTTGCAAATATAAATAAAATCAAAGATTAAAATAGTATTGTTGACATTATTTAAGTGCAATTTATTCAATAGTTTTACTGTAAAATGAATATAATAATAAAAACCGGGTTTGCATCATCCGCATTTGTTTCCAATTTCTGCCGTGTTGTGCGCTGCGATCGTTATCTGTCCGCCACTACTAGCTTTGCACATAGCCAATACCGGGCACAATTCCAGAGTCCGTGCTAATACTAAGTTTTCTTAAATAACCCAGTAATATTTTGCCAGACTCAGGAATCGAACCCAAGTGTCGCAAGTGCAAGACTGCCGTGCAAGGGGTCTCCCCTTGCCCGGCAGTCTAACTTGCGACCACTCGGTCAATGAGGCAGGTTTAGAAGACACTGTTCATTTTCAGTAAGTGGTTGCAAGATGATCGAATATTTTTCAGATCAAAGACATTCTCATGCAGGGAAAAGTGTTGAAGAGTTTGATAAAAACATAATAGTGTCGCTAAATAGAAGCAAAATAACGAGTTTCCGTTGTCATTGATAGACTGCAGTTTACAAAATAAGAAAATTTTAAAGTAGAACAGGCTATGTGTGGGAAAGGTACATAAGAAATAGGAAACAAAGCGACTACTATCACAAAATTCTGTTCAAAAGAAAGTTCCAGAACGACTTGTTTGCAATTAAACTTGAACCAATAGAGGGTAGCACAGATGCAAATATCTGAAGTTGATGTCTCAGCTGCCTTGCTATTTGTTAGGATCCAGTTTTCGATTGTGAGAAGATCGGTATAACTTTGACTTAGTGATTAGTTTTTAGTTTGTCTTATTTAGAAAGTCTATAGGTTGAAGGTAGGAAACATGAATTATTATGTTTTCGACTTATTCACTCATTGACGAGGAACTGGATATTTTAAGCCATGCTAGAGGCTCGTATTCATAAGTAACATTCCGCGATACACGACGCAGCGTCTTTCGCGCTGCTACTAGCGCTGCTGCTGGTGTCAGAACACGTTTAAAAAAATAAGAAAGGTGGATTTAATTTGAAGATACCTGGGTGAAGTAATATTCATATTCAGGGATTTAATGTCTAGGTATTAGTGTAGTGAATCCCCACCATCTTCATGAAATAAGTCTAAACAAAGCCACTGCAGTACATAGACCGACTCCCAAAATTTCCACATTAATTTAGAAGCGATCATGTACATGACTTTGACCTTGAACTTATTGTTGCAGGCGGACATAGCACATTCGGCGAAAGGCTACGAGTCAGAGGATGAGAACGCGGGGAGAAAGTGGCAGAGGGCCAGCGACGAACGGCCAGCCAGTAAGACTACCATGTACTCTAAGCAGGTAAGCAGCTTTTAATTTTTATTTCTTTTATGTTTGATGGGCCGACGTTTGAGCACTAATAGTGGTCCACTATCTCGCCCGGTGGTAAGCAATGATGCGGTCTACGATGGTGTCTACGGTTTTTTTATTCTTTCTTCTCTTAAGTCTTTCCAAATGAAGTTAGAGTTAGTACCAATAATAAATTATTTGGTTGAACAACCTGAATACATGAAATGAACAGAAGACAGCTCCTAACATAGTCTACAAGCGTTGTTATCACAATCTTGATTAACTCTGTTTAAGATTAGGTACTGTGTGTTTTAGAAAGACCGTTTTGGTACTAAATACGTTCTACTCTTATCCTGGTTGCCCAAGTATAGGTATAGTCGTACTTAGGTACGACTGGAAATATTTTTTTTTTAATAATTACTATCTGACTGCCTTAGTGGTAAGTGTGACTGCCGGGCAAGGGGTCTTGGGTTCGATTCCCGAGACGGGCAAAGTATGACAGGCTTTTTAAAAAAAATCTCAATAGTAGCACGGAGTCTGGAAATGTGCCCAGTATATGGCAATAGGCTCACCTCCTATAACATGAGACTCATAACATTAATAGTGAAAAGTGGGTGTTACATTGTACAGTGGTATAATGTGCACCTCTGCCTACCCCTTCGGGGATAATAGGCGTGATGTTATGTTTTAGAAACATAAACTACTAATTACCATCATTTTTGGCACATGTTGGTCTTTTTCTGGAACTGTAGCAGTCGTTTTGTCTTCCTTTCCTTTACTATCACTGCGTTCTGGCATTAAGTGTCGTAATGTGCATCTCTGCCTATCACTTCGGGGATAAAAGGCGTGATGTTATGTATGTATGTATGTACTATAATATCTACTATATAAAAATAAGTCGGGTTTACCTTCCTGACGCTATAACTGCAGAGCCCACAAACCGATTTCCACGGTTTTGGATTCGTTGGAAAGGTCTCATGCTCCGTGAGGTTTATAAAATACTAGCTTTTACCCGCGGCGTCGCTCGCGTTACAAAAGAATAAAAAGTAGCCTATGTGACATATACCAATACACACAGCGCCATCTATACCAATACTTTTGTTTTTCCTCGGGAATATCAATTTTTCCGGGTTAAAAGTACCCTATTATTTAATCCGGACTTCTAACTTTACGTCTGCAAAAAATCAAAGCAATCGGTTGAGTAGTTACGGCGTGAAGGTGGAACAAACAAACAAACAAACACACTTTCAGATTTATAACATTAGTAAGGATTAAACAACAACAATTTTCTTCATCTTTTAATCACCAAACCAAATGTTACATAAAACGAAGCCATCTGTAGGGAAACGGAGTTCGGGTTTGCTAGTTCTGTATATTTTGTAGTTAACCTACATTAAAGCAATGTCAAAAAGATACTCCACAATTGCAAGTTTATGTATATAATTTCCAATTGAGTCCAGCTGACATTAATCAGACTAATAGATTGATTGATTGTTATCACAGATTGATATCACGCTAAGTAGGTATAATAGTAATTAGACCGAGATTTACGTAAGATTACTCAGCATTGTAAGGGACGCCTGAATTAATAGAATAGCAATTTCTATAATAGCGTTTTGTTGCCCAGCCTATACAAAGGGACCAAGTCGAGACTCCGTACCATTACTGAGAATTTCCAAATTAAAACACCCAATTATACTTTGCCTAACACAAGAAACGAGTTCGAAGCAAAAACAGTGTTCATTTGATGTTATATTGGTGAATTAATGATTATAACTTGGATTGGTTTCCTACACATAATATAACATAACATTCTCTTAACCCCTAAGGGGTAGGCAGAGGTGCACAGAGAGGTAACACCCACTCTTCACTATTTATGTAATGAGTCACATGTAATAGGGGGTGAGCTTATTGCCGTATACCGAGCACATTACCAGACTCCGTACAACTACTGGGAATTTTTTAATTGGTTTACATAACTTTATTTTAATTACATTCTTATTTATACAGACAGAGAAAACGACGAGTATACACACCCAGATATGACAGATTGACAGTGCGTTCCGTGGCATCTGTTGATCTTATGTAGTACCTACCTACAATATAGTGACGGAGTCATCACTTTTACTAAACTAGTGATGTTTATACATGTAACAGTTAATAAATCAGGATCATCGAAATATTTATTCGGATAGACGTGAAGTGTACCTACTTAGTACATTGAAGAGTATCGATTCCAATATTCCGTTAGTTGAGCTTTCGAATAGAGTTCAATTTCGTATAGCGGCAAATATTTGCGCAGCCTACAGATATTAAAGACTGGGAATATCAATGGAAACTCCGATTGAAGCGTATTAACAAAAAACTGGACAGCTGATATGAAAATGGCTGAAAATACTCAACAATACTAGACTGTTATAAAACGTAGCATTGTTAAATATGTATTAATTAGCAACGAAATAACTGGTGCTGTTGTTACGATGAAGTAGGATAGAATAAAACAATATTTTAATGAGTTTAAATTCGTATATAATAAACTGTTACTAGAAAGAATTCTTCTTAGTCTTAGATGGGTGTCTTGATACCTAAATAGCGATTTAGGTACTGATTATCTGCGGCATTTTTTTTTTTTTAAGAAACGTTGCCCCACAATTGGATTTTCTCCTGTGTCGTGGAATATATTCATAGATGTCGTTGCATAGGAAATAGGAAGGTACTGATTAGAAATTCTCATTTAGTAGTAGTAGGTATATCTTAGTATTTATTGCGACGGACATTATCTACATACTAGTTAACTTTAAATGATGATGATAATTATATATCTGACCTGTACATAATTCATGTTTGTATTTTTTGTTGTATTTTCCAAAATAAAAGTAGCCTATGTTACTTCTTAGTACATCAACTACTTGCCAATAAAAGTCTTGCAAAATCGGTCCAGCCATTCCAGTACAAAAAAATTAACAGTCACACAGACAAAAATTGAAATAAAAATTATATGTATTTTGGTATATGTATCGTATGCTCATATGCATATAGTAAAAAGCGGTTATTTTAGTATTACAAACAGACACTACACGTCAGTAGACGTCGTGGCAGGCCCAAAATGAGATGGCGGGACGAATTAGACATCTATGACAAGGATTGGCCGCAAAAAGCTTTACACAGAGAGGAGTGGAAGGAGGGTAGGGAGGCCTTTGCCCTGCAGTGGAACGATGGCTGAAAAAAAACAGACACTCCAATTTTATTTATCTGTATAGATACACACAAACAACGAAACACCAAATAAAATTAATTATCTACGATTCATACTTACACCAAAGTGAGTCCGAATAAAAGTTGAAAGGCATAAAACAGGCGAAATCTCACAACCACCTCAGATTTCCGAGAAAACAACAAAAAATCTTATTAACGTCGCTAAGTTTTACTCCCACTATCCGAAATTAATTATGTGAGTAGGCTTTCTTGATCCTACGCATTTTGTTTTTCGATGAGGACGTTTTCTACGTAATTCTAAGGTGGGCGTATTTACTCTTCACGAAATTCAGTCAAGAAGAATACAGTACAAATATTTGTATAAGAGGCAAAATTGAAAATTAATCTTTCAATAAACACAAAGCTTTTGGAAACTAAACAGTAGCTATTTGGTTTTCATTGATTTTTTGTAGACTTACTACGCGAAATTTCATTTAGAAATGAAGGTATGAGCCTCCAGCGTGGCTTAAAACTAGTCGAGTTTCTCGTCAAACAAATACGTGAGTAAGCCAAAAATATAATAATTAACCCATGACAGTAACAATATGTTAAATAATTTCATTGTTTCGTTAGGAGTAGCTTATTATACGGACCTTGTGCAATCTAGAATAAATTTCCGTGCGTTTAGGCGCTATTAATGGAAGCAAGTATCACAGCTCACACAGGACCCACTTAGTTTTTTGTCGAATTTTGGCGACTGGGCTTCACCCAGTTGTTCAGTCTCTTTTTGTGCCATTAGGCTTAATTCATTCTGTCGTGCAATAATTCACCGAGGGAAGTTGAAACTATCGTTCTTTTTCTTCTCTTCTTATAATATCTTCTGATTCACTTCGTTGCGGGAACCAAAACAGTAATTCATGTCCCTGGGACGCGCTGGACTTGTGTTCCGATGTTTTCATGGTTGTATCTACTGTACATCCTGGCTTACAGGAGTTGCAGCGGTTTTGGGAGGTTGTGGCAAGCTTGTCCCAAAATAAAGAGGGGTATGCCATAATCTCCACTCTTGGCTCTGAAGATCGCAGTTTAAAAGGTTGAGGTTCATTAGGTAGTGCTGCTGCCCTCTGTCGGCTCGTACCCCACCCACGGGAAGAGTAGGGGTGGTAATAAATGTATTCAATGCTACGTTTACCATGTGCCATAGGTTCTTCAAGAGGGCAGTGAATAGGTTTCTTAAGGGTCAAGACGCATGTAATGCCCCAAGTGTTGCAGGCGTACATAGGCTACTGTAACCGCTTACCATTAGGTGGGCCGTGTGGTTTTTTGCCATCATCGTGGTATAAAAAAATGCCAAATTAGGTGAAAAGCTGTTCTTTATACCGGTTTTCATGCACCCAAAATTAACATTCAATTTTGCCCCTTCCACAAAAGTAAATAGAAGTCAAACTACTTTATCTGTAACACTAAAGAAGCATTAAGACTTCCAACTTCACCTACTTTAGCAACTTCTATAAAGATACCTATTTGCTTAAAAATTTAGCCTTCGTGCAGATAAGATCTATTTTTGCTTAGCTCAGCCTAAATTAAAACGTTGAGCACTTTTTCGTTATTTTCTTCGCAAAGTGCATTTGCCTAGAAAACTTATTCTGTTTAAACTGAATGTTACCGAGACGTTAGTTCAAGTCTATTATTTTCTTTGTAAGTTGCTTGAGCACTTAAGTACTCTGAAGTCTGGAGTGCAGTTTATAGTATCTTTACTTTCAATACGTTTAAATGAATGTAGTGTGCGACTCATAATACCTCTAGATTCATAATTAGAACTACTGTTTTATTTCAATTAAAGCATTACTTATGTGTTAAGGACGGTTCCCGGTCTCGGGTCGGAAAAGTATTACTGGGTTTTTAAAAATTCTCAGTAGTAGCACGGAGTCTGGAATTGTGCCCGGTAGGTACATATATGGCAATAGGCTTACCCCCTATTACATGGGACTCATAACATAAATAGTGAAAAGTGGGTGTTACATTGTACAGTGGCATAATGTGTATCTCTGCCTACCCCTTCGAGGATAAAAGGCGTGGTATTATGTTATAATGATATGTTATGCGTTTGAATAATTCATTACTAATATGCCTTCTTAAACCACACGTCATGGAAAAAAATATTGCAAAAAATCGCAATAAGTTCAGTAGCTTTCCGTTATTTTTCTATATTGTCAATGAGTTAAACTATAATCCTCATAAACTCAATAGGTCAGCATTGTGCATCCCTACCAATAAGAGATAGTCCCTAAGCCACGTCTGATATTACGATAGACCGAAAAATTTAAATTATGATCTTTTTTCCATATTTCGCAGGAGTTCCGAGAACAGTACTGCATCAACAACAAACAACTGGATCTGCTGGAACTGGAGAAGTCCAAGAAGGACAGATTCCTCGGATGTCTCTCTCAGTACCATATCGAGAGTCCATGTTCCAGAGCCAATAGGTAAGTCCATGCTTTTCTTTTTCTAAGTCCGTATGATGTCCAAAATGCCTAAGATTTTGTAGATTTATTTTTTTATGAGATAAGCTGGTAAACGGGCAGACGGATTACCTGATGGTAAGCAATCGGCGTTGCCCAAGAACACCCGAAACACCAGAGGCGTTACAAGTGCGTTACCGGCGTTTTGGGGAAGGGGGTATTTGGGCCTCCGGTAACCTCACTCACATGACAAAATACAATGTAAGCGTTGTTTCACGTCGGTTTTCTGTGAGGCCGTGGTATCACTCCGGTCGAGCCGGCCCATTCGTGCCGAACCATACCTCTCCCACACTTATCTATTTAATTTGTATTTAATTTGTATTAAAAGTCATAATCATCATTATTATTGCCACATGATGTTCACTGTTAATCACCCGCCATTTTAATATTCTAAGATAGTTGTGTTTCTATAAAATAATGCTGCTTAATCTAAAGGGTCAAAGATGCTCTTTTTACCTTAAAGTTCTCATTTATCAGTTTACAATTTAAATGCGTAGGAGGCTACGAAAGGCAATAAGACAAGACATTCATGTGAATATACTCAAACGTCACTTTTTAAGACAGGCTTAAGTATAGTTCTGTCACTACAAATTCTTTGTAAAAAGACAGAGATGACACGATACTTCAGTAGTACTTAAATTTGAGAAGCCTTTCAGTATTCGAGCGTAAGAATCGTATGTTTATTCATAGTTAAAAATTTATTAAAACCACCGAAATAACGTACTCCTCAATTCAATTCGACCAACTAAAGAACTTCAAGGACACTGAAGCTACATAAAATAAATAATTCATAAACTAAACTACAAATCTGTTTAAGCGTCAAAATATCCAACAGCTACCGGCCAGTATTGAATATTCCCGTATCCCAACGTGTCCGTTTTAAGGTCAACTTCCGTAGGGGATCAAATTCTCCCCAGCTTATAGGGGATTAACCTGATGACATTATCTAAATTGAACATTAATGCGTCGGGTTCGATCATAATAGCGGTCTTACATCAATGAGTCCGGTTTAGCGAAGAATTCCAAATTAAGCGTCTACTAATGTCTCTAAAAGAGGTTGTTTTGTTCGCTCTGTTGTACAGAATGTTTAAAAAAGGAAGATCTTATGTAAATGCAAATTAAATGTGAGATTACGGCCTTGGTGGTGGATTTTTTTTAGCCTTTTTTGTTAGTAATGCCCGAATAGTAATAGTTCTGTGATTACAAATTCTTTACAAAATGACAGAGATTTTGTTTAAGGGGGGAAAATCATCGAATGACTTCTTTTTCTTTTCTTTCTTTTCTTTGCACTTTCTTTTCTTGACACTCCCTCCCGCCTCGCTGAGGCGGGAGGGATATGTATTCAAAAAGAAACAACATTTTAACCGCTTGAATGACCGCGGTATATGATTCACAATAGAAACACATTGCGTCTCGCGTAGATCTGCGTTCGATACGATTTGCAATACCACGGGTTAATACAATAAAAGGTTGAATTTATTTAAAAACAAAACTTGGTAGTGACCTTATCCATGTCATTACATGGTCTCAAAATTTCAAATTTAGATTGTCGAGAAGGGTCCAGAATTTATTACTGAACAAGAAAAGAATGAAAACCTTCACACACAATCCTTTTCACATTGCCCTAATGTATAAAAATCACTACCTGTTCAAAACACAAAAGCAAAAGAATAAAAACCCTTCACAATAAAAGAAAGAATCTCAAAGGTCCCGTAAAATGTATTATTCCGAAATATTTTCCATTCCATTCCAAAGAATTCTCATAGGCGGAAATATGTCACTACCCTGAACACTACTAAAATATTCCGGTGTAGGGAAAATATGCACAGAATAGATACAGTCGTTAACAATATGTGTACGGAAACTAGACAGGTTCTTTATGTAGTAGAAATAATAGGGAGCGAGGATTCGACGTACAGTTCCCATACGGATTCGTACATGAATGAATGTTACCATGCAAGAATGCTTACAATGTAAGAATAAAGAATTGTTCAGTTCCGTTCCTATACATATTGTTATGACCCGAAATATAATGAGGAAAAATATTTTGAAATATAATTGTTTATAAACACATTTAGACGTGTTGTTATAAGTGAAGATGGTGACCAACCGCTAAACTAAAGAAAATATAGGATCTAAGATTGTGTAAGGAATAATTTTACCTTCTTAATTAAATTGCTGGTGAGACTGGATACTTTAATTTTGACATATCTATATTAGTAAAAGTGATCTGTATTTCAATCGGGACACAAATTTAGGCCTGGGCAATCATCAAATATTGATATCGGCAAAAGCTATCGACAACCGTCACTGACGCAACCTGACACTTAACACAAGAAGCACTTTTGTGTACTCAACCAAATAGTCAGCCATTTATCGGATAAGACCTCTTCCTACATCCAAATGTTATAAATAAACACGGCCATTTCACGGCTTCCTCTATCCAATTGAATTTGTAGGGATAAAAATTCCACTAAATTCTCCCCAACGCGTGGAAACATGTAACTGAATTTATTTATGGCGATGTTGTTTTAACTGGCAAAGTGTAAACGGTGCCCTTTCATCAATTCAATATTTGTGTGAACGCGATATGGAGTGGAAATGAATGGTGTATGTTTATTTTAAATGGTCAAAACTCGAATCGAATGTTTTTTGAACTATTTGAATAGCATTTTTTATGTGATAATGCTGAAAAAAGAGGAAGTAGTGAATAAAAAGGTGATATTTAGTGGCGCTACTCTAAAATCAGTTTGTGGCAAGCAGACCATTTTTAAATGTCCAAAGGTCCTCAAAATGAGAAAAGCCTTTTGTTTTGGTTGTCATAGAAGAATATTTTATAATGACAGTATGGGTCCAAAAACTATGAGTGGCATAAATCAAGCTGATAATAATATTTTCAATATTAGGAGGGTATGAAAGACAATCACGTAATTTCACCGAAGCTAACAAAGAAGAGCAAACCTTCCAAAAAGAAACAGCAAACAATACAAAAAAATGTCCCATCAATTTCAAAGGTTGCTAGATCGAATATTAAGTCGTTTTATTTAATTTAATACGTACGAAGGAACAGTGGTACCATCCCAAAACAATATTATTTGCTTAACGTCTGCATATAAAATCTATGTTTCATCTTGCTTCGTCGAGTCCCACCGGAGTTGTTTAGCCGGAAACCTGCTATGCATAAGATATGAGCAAACTTGACCCGTTTTGTTCAAAATTTAATACAAAAATACTTCGACTAAAGTTGGGATTAATCAAAATTATTTTCCTCTTGTGCCCATAAATAATTATGTTTATCTTTGGAGACATTATAACTTTACCTTTAATTAAATTCTACGTAATTGCTTACTTTAGAATTTCTATTTTTATTGTTACTCGGACACTTTGCCGTGGTTGTATAATCATGCCTATTTTTATTGTCATATGATCTAATAGTAGACGTCATTCATATCTTAGTATCTTAGTTTGACTCTCCGGGATATGATTCTAGAGCTTTTTGCTAAAATATGTGCATAGTATGGAGGAATATTGTAAGTTATATTCTGCATATTGCACTTGTTAACAAATTTTTCTAATGTATGAACTTATTTTAGGGAACAGAGAGTATGGTTCTAAGATTGGGCGACCAGGCGAGGTGATCGTACCTGGCGGGCTTACTGCCCAACAGTTGTTCGTTGGGATTTTCTATCAGTGTTAATCCGCATGTAAACTTTGCTTGTGCGATGAAGGATTTTTTATGACGTCATCCTTTGATTTGCTTCCATCTGTGGCCCATATGAGCCAGCTATTATTTTGACGTGTGCCATGATTGTGTCGCCACATTATTGTGTAGCTAAATGTTACAAAACTGAACAACTTTTTGTCCATCAATTAGAGTCATTAACAGAAAATAAAGATGGCGTCTTACCGAGCCCTAGAGACCCAAGTATCGGCATCTTAAGTTGATTTAGACGATAAATGACCTCCTTTTAGTGGAGGCAAAGGTAACAAATTGAGCATTTTATTATTCTGCACCCTTGTAATCGTATTGGGCCCAAGTGGAGGTCACAGGGCACTTTTATATTTTCCCTGGCTTTACATTTCCTTGGCGCATCTATTTTGTTAAGCTGCTTTTTGTAATCGTTAAGAAGTGTTTTGTATACAGTACGGTTTGGTCTTAATGCACTGACGAACATTTTGTTTAATTTGGTGGGTACCTATTATGACGTCCATGAAAGGGGCGTTATATTCGACTTGAGCACAATATTTTTTTGATTTGGAAAATTGCAACAAAAAATACCAATAATAAGGTGATGTGTGATCTTTAACAGTGTCTTTCTGATCTAATTAAAATACATTATTTTGACTTTATGCAATATGCATGCAATTAATTAAGACACAATATGGTTGACTTTTTCTTAGAAAAAGAAACGTAGTTGTAAAAAACAGAACTTAAATACAGAATTCCGGAGTACTGAACCAAAAAATAAATTAGACTTTGTAGAAACTTGGAGCAATGTTCGTTCATAATAAAGTCCATTTGTTGGTACCCTCATTTCGCAAAGAAAATAATGAAGCTCTCTAGAAACAACAAGAAACAATATCTTTTCTTATTTCGGTAGGTTAGTTGCCTTTCTGGGCAATTAAGCAACTAAAATCCTTCCCAAATCAAGGTTTATATTTATTTTATTCAGGCGTTTGTTGTACTTGTTTTTGTGCGAACAGTTTTATATATTGGACTAGTTGTTGCTCGCAGTTTCGTTGCTAAGAAAATAGATGTCACTATACGATGATATCCAAATCATCTATAGTGTATTTTTGACTTAATGTCGTTCAAATAAGTAGTAATAACTAATAGGGGTAGTCGAGAAAAAGTAAATACTAACAAATAGAACATGAATTGTGTTAAAGTGGGAATGGTATATTTTGTAGCAAAAAGTAACCTTTGTAGCTTTACAGCCTGTCAACTTGTTTCCTTGGAGAAATACACTTTGTTTTGACTTGAAATAAGGACAAACAGACACACATTTTGATTAATAAAGGCAATAAGTATATTATTTTCTACGCCAATATATATTTTGACGTAGCCAAAAGAAGGAATCCGATTATCTCATTAACGGTTAGTCATAACAAATCAATCAACTTTTTGATGGATACATTTCTTTGCAAGACATCCGAAGCGGAAATGTCTTTGTTGTTATTTATTATTAGTTCTTACTTACAATTTCAATTAATCATAGTGAAGGACAATACCTACATTAGAAAAATACAATACATATTATGTCATACTATCTGAATTATTTAGACCATACCATAACTTGATTAAAAAGGCCTCCAAATAGAAATCTTCTTTGCTTTGAACCCTAAAATCTTCACTGTTATTGTTAGACTAAAGTTGCACTGTTTTGCATACTCCATACCGCATAATTTATTTTCATAAAGTGACGTCATAGAAATTTTCTTTTGTTACAGAGCATCATTTCTATCCGTGTGCGTCCGGCGGCGTGTGCCCTCAGATGAGAATCTCAACACCGATTATGCACCAATACAGAGGTATCCCAGGTATGTAAGAATAATCATAACCCCTCACACCTATTTGCTACAACAGCGCCACCCAACGAGTATTTTAAAGATGTTCCTGTTCAAAGGTTCGGCCAACCAACCCCGGCACCGCCCGAACTTTGCGCCTACGATGCCGATCTGGAGTGCTCATACTTCCGCAGACGTCCACGGTCTGTGTGCAGCCAACCTGACCCCAAACGCTACACCTGGATGCCTGAAGATGAAGACTTCACCCGGATGGAGTGGCCACAGTCAGTACTGTTATTCCTAACGATCCAAACTTTACTAACTCAAGCTTTCTTCTCTAAAGATGTTAAAGGTTTTATTATAAAAGCATTAATGACTTCCCTCTTAACAGTAATTGATGCTTTAGAGGAAACACCAGATCATTCATTAAGGAGTGAAATTGCGAACATAATTTAATAAATAGAACAATCTTAATGGGTTCCAAACGAGCAAGAAAATATCTGAACAAGCAGGTCCTTATGTATCGATCCTTCTATTTTTGGTCCCAAACAAAATGTCTTCTACCTTGAGAGCAAAAGCTCTGAAATTTACATAAACGTGGAGGAAAGAATGATTCATTGTCTTCGCGACTCCTTGCATAATTGATTTCGAGGCTTCAATCATTAAAAATCCAGAAAACCGAACAAGATCAGTCAGGAGAAATATTAATGAATTTCGTATTCAAAATATAAATCTCGAAAACAATTTGCCGACCAGTAAAAAAATAAACGCATTATTGCATTAAATTTATGTTATCTGGTTGAAATAAGAAGAATAATTAAGAAAAATAATTGGAAATGAGTTACATTTACCTTTTAATTTTTTTAATTTGTTTTTTTTATCGTTTATGACCTTTTATCCAGCAGGCAGAGAAATAAACGATCAATGGAGCTAAAATCAAAATAAGCGAGCGACACAGGGCTCCGATACTTGGTGTAAAATAAGCAATAAAATTAAATATTATGTAGATGTATGTATAGTATTTGTAACCTTAATTATTTTTATTATATTATTGTATATTTCACTACGGGCCAAGATGCCTAAGACAAATAAATAAATAAAAAAAAATCGTACAAAAAAAATGAACATTTCAGAATGTTTTAGTACTTAATAATTTCGTAATGTTAAGCAACTTCTTCCATATATTTCGGCAATAAATCTTAGAAAAAAGGGTGTTGAGAGATTCTGGGCTAAAGTCCCGTCTTCCGTAAAAAGGCAACTCATATTTAATTCAAACGTTAAAGGATAAAAGTAACGAATGATTAATGTTTTAGTATCCTTATTTGCCAAGCTTTTAGACCGACGAACAAATGACTTCTTTACTTCCTTGACATTTTTATTTTTTAATTTAATTAGGGGATTGAAACATCATCAAACATCTGTTAAAGAGTAGTTTAATTTCTTTGTTCTGAGATCCAATTACTCTATAGAATTGTTCACTGACGCAAAAAAAAACGTAGACATTAAAAATTATTATGACATTGAATAACATAAGTATCAGAAACTAAATTAAGTAAAATCGCGGGTTACTCACGTGAATATACTGAGAAAAGCTCTACTAGTTTCGAACCACAGAGGGGTTTCTTCCTCATGAGCAGCGTGCGCGGTCGCGGCGACGTCGCGCAGCTCACTCAGAATATTCACGTGAGTAACCCGCGATTTTACTTAATTTAGTATGTCTCATGATAGTTATTAGAGGTTTAAAAACGTATCAGAAAGTGTTTATTTTCTTCATACGAGATAAGAAACTCCACTTGACACTACATTCTGACATTTGAAATTATTAGTTGAATAACATATTCATCTGTCAAAATTGCAGCAAATATTAGTTACTTGTTTTCGGACTCGAGAAACAATAAAATTACTAGTTATTTTAAACTGAGTGCCCCATTGGCCGAGTGGTTGCAAATGCGACGGGCAAGGGAGCTCGGGTTCAATTCCCGGGTAGAGCAAAGTATTACTAGGTGTTTTAAAAATTTTCAGTAGTAGCACGGAGTCTGGAATTATGTCCGGTATAAGGCGATAGACTCACTCACCCACTACATGGGACTCATAACATAAATAGTGAAAAGTGGGTGTTACATTGTTCTGTGCCATTAAAGGCCATAATGTGTACCCCGCTGGAGATAGATGTGATGTTATTAACTAAAAATCGCGGCGGTGGCGGCGATGGTAGGCTGCGCGACGTCGCCGCGACCACGCATACGGCTCATGAGGAGGAACCCCTCTGTGGTTCGAAACTAGTTAGTTAGAGCTTTTCTCAGTATATCCACGTGAGTAACCCGCGATTTTTAGTTAATTTAGTACGTCCCACGATAGTTACTATAAAAAAATATAAAAATTAAACTGCACATATGCCGAAACGCTACTCAATTTTAAGTCGTGCTCAAATATCGTGCCATCTCTGTCATTTTACAGATAGAACTATACTTAAGCACGACTTAAAATTGAGTAGCGTTTCAGTATTCCGACAATAGTTATTTAAACTGTCAAACACCAAGCGGTCACCGGTGACCGCGACCTATTGTTCTTTAATTGTGTCTATAAAACCGGTACTCGACGAGTTAAATTTGTTATATTCTAGTGAACTGTGCACTGCAAAATCTTACTACCTTACCTACAAGTTCTACGCAATATTCTAATGTAATTCTAGGCAGGCACTAAGAAAATGGTTCGTGCTTAATTTTTTCATTCCACTTCTTTAGTATTTTCTCGCAATTTACATAAGTAGGAGCTCTTAAGACCTTCGTTCTTGAAGCTTGAACTCTTGTATCAATTGACTTGATAATTCTGACCTCGCTATTTTATATACCGTGTGTGGTAAAAGTGCTCTTTATTTCAGATACACGTTCCGCTTATTTATTTTAGGCAAGAAATAAGATATTTAATATTCTAGATATTGCAAAATATAGAGAGAATTTTTCACTATTATCTACCCAAGAAATTATTTTGACATTCATAACGCAGAAATCAAAAGTTCATCGCATATAGATATAGACTATTGATAAATGAAAACGATAAAATTGATCAAATATTTTTCCGAATACATAGAACATTGAATATCTCCATGATCCACTTTTAAAATGGATGATCTTAATGGGAAAATGGCATCAGCATCACCAAGAAAAAAATCTCTTCGACTTCACAAACCTAATTTTGAAAAGTGATAATCTATATGGGTACAAGTCCAATAAATTAAATGATTTATATTACAGATCGGTAATAGAAGAAAACGCGGGTTGGCCCCAAAATTATAATGTGGACCAAATCGCGTCAGTCAGCCGAGGAGGCTCGTTGCCTCGGCCACCTTCGATAATTCCGTAAGTACTTTCATTTTTACATTATTAATAGAACCATATAGATTAGATTTTATTTAGGTTAAATTGCCTTTGTGTTTACACCGTTTACATTATTTTTTAGTGAAAATATGATACTTATCTACGTACCAGACTTCCAAATGATATCTTGTACAAGTCTTTACAAATGAAGGTAAGGTCAAAAAGACCTATATCAAATTATGGGGTTGGCACAATTGTGTCTTCTCAACTTTCAGACGTCATATAATAAACCACAGAACGAAATAGAAGACTTTGTTGAGCAAGTTGCAAAGAAAGTAAATGAAATCCACCGAAGGATTGATACTAACTTCGGTACTTGGGTAAAGCATAAACGCTCGGCTGTGTCAAAATCAGTCTATTCAAACCAAATGAGCTACTTTTGCAAGTATTTTATGGCTTCAGTACTTCGAGTACCTTCCTTCAGTTGGCACACCAGACTTGCCAACTTCAAACTTGGTCTTTAGGTCTGTGACTAAGCTGGAAATTGTTATTATTTTAAACGGTGAGCTAACTAAAATGTCTAACAAGTTTCATTATTCATAATACACACATACTGATTTAGGGAACAGGGATTATCCGACCAGGCGAGGCGATCGTGCCTGGCAGGCTATCTGCCCAAGAGTTGTTCGTTGGGATTTTCTATCCGTGTTAATTCGCATATAAACTTCACATGTGCGATGTAGGAGCTGCTGGGCTTCACCCAGTTGTACAGTATCTTTTTTGTGCCTTCAGGCTTAATACACTCTGTCTCCTGCAGTAATTCACCAAGGGAAGTGGAAACTATCATTTTTTTTCTTCTCCTCTTATAATATCTTCTGATTCACTTCGTTGTGGGAACCAAGATAGTTATTCATGTCCCTGGGACGCGCCGGACTTCAGTTTTCCGGTATTTTCATGGTTGTATCTACTGTACATCCTGGCTTACAGGAGTTGCAGCGGTTTTGGGAGGTTGGGGCTGGCTTGTCCCTTAAAAATAATGTGCGATGTAGGATTTTGTGACGTCATCCGTTAATTTAATTTTCATCGATAGTCTATGTGCGTGGACTGTCATGCTGTCATTTTACACGTGTCGCCACTGAGATACATACAAAAACACAAATGTTTCCTCTTATAATAATAATACAGAAAAAGTCGTGAGACCCGTGATACTAAGGCTAGTTTTGTAAAGTAATTTTTATGACAGATATAACTAAATTTTCATAGTATTTGTGAAAGAGGCCCATAAAGTGTTAGCGAATCAAGATATTTGTTCTTTAAAGAGAATGTACAAATTAAAACCTTTAGAAAGTTCGATATCGTTGTAAATGTTATTTTCTTACAAAAATATTTCCCGAGATAACAACGCAATGTAGAAATTTCCTTTAGAGACCTTGTTTTTCTTCTATTTATTTTTTTTCATTTACGCTATATTTTCCTTTTGAAAAGAATCCTTAGGAGTTAGACTGACTGGCGTATTGTCATGTTTTTATTAAAGTCTAAAATAATTTAAGACTTTTTCTGTGCCTATATTTTTCCTAGTATATTTTTTTTTCTTATAACTGCGTTAAAGAGGTTTGAGACGTTTAAGTGATCTTAGTTGCCTGTTATGTTTGTAATTCGGTCGGGCAAAGTATTACTGGGTATATGGCAATAGGCTCACCCCCTATTACATGGGACTCATGACATAAATAGCGAAAAGAGGGTGTTATATTGTACATTGTCATTAAGTGCCGTAAATGCACCTCTGCCTATCCCTTCGGGGTTAAAAGTTGTGCTGTTATGTTATTATTTTCCAATAGCAATCAAGCGCCAATCAATAATTTGAAACAAATAACTACTAATTAGAAATATTCATTGACAGATCTCTTCTGAAACTTTGGACAGTGTTAACCGACTTGATACCGCTGTAAAACAACTTCAAGAAGTGATTAAGAATTCCGATGAAGTTTGTATTGATCTCGATATAAACAGCGAAACAATTTTCCTCTTCCGAAGTCTAGAACTCAACTGTCTAAGTATCTGACTGTAAAGTTGGAGCCTTCAACACGCCAATCTTATAGGAATAGCCGCCCTCGTTTGTGTTGTTGATATAAATACATGGATCCTAGTTTCTATCCTGTGTTTTTTTTTGATGGGAGATAATCATCCAATGGCTTCTCCTGCCTTGGGTTAGTAGTGTCAGACTCTTACTGACTAAAAACCACCCCGTTCCTACTCCTGCTCTTCGAGGCGGAACCCCGGTAACCCTGTTTTGCCTCAAGGAGCTATCAGACCACCACAGATCCCCATTTGTAGTAGGTAGTATGTGGCTCTATAGGGCTGATGCCGATACGAAGCCGCGGAGGACTTAACGGGTTATCGGGGCTCCGGTTCGAAATGCAGGAGTAGGAATTGGATGGTTTTCAGTTAGCAAGATTCTGACACGTTTCTCGCTAGCCTCACCTGGGTAGGAGAAGTCATAGGATGAATATCACAGTTGTCAGTCTAGATTTTTGTCTCGTTCTTCTCCATTCGAAACTATACTTTGGAACGAGCACCTAGCTTCACTGACAGACAAACTGACGGACAATATAATAATATTGCGCTTTAAATGAAATAAAAACAAAATTGCGTTTTTCTGTAAAGACAAAAATTGTTTATTTATAACTAATTGCGTACAATATAATTTAACTTTTTAACTTAGGTAAATACCACAAATAAACAAAGTAACTCACCTGTAACCACTCACCACTCAAAGACAAAAAAACAACATTTCAAGCCTTTATTTCTGGTATTATTATTCCTTTTAAGGGAAAATTAACTCTATAAACTAAAATACATTCATTCTTCTAAAAAACACACACGTCACAATGGCAGTGACATCTCTTTATATTATGATAAAGCGGCCAATTCAAAAATGAGAATTGGCAAGAAAATATAATACAATGATTTTCTTTACATATATTTGCCTCTTAGTACGCTTCATGCTTCACGGAAGTCTATGCACGACTATTATAATTATTGACTCACACCTAACACAATTCTTTAGCGTACATTAAAAATGTTTTTGAATCTAGTTATATCACCTATTTTTATGTGTTAACTATTTGAGCTTTCATTTTTTTTTCATAGAACTTCACATTATGCTAAATTTAAACTACACACACTATACAATAGTTCATACTTCTTTTGTAGAAAAAAACTCTATAAAATAGATTCTTATATACAGTAAAAGTATAGAATACTTGACTCATAGAGCGTTCTATTTCTTTTTCATTCTCTTTGTGACGTAACAGGATGCGTTGTAAGGTCGGGAAAAGGTCAAGTGGTCCACGCCAGAGGAAAAGAACACGATTACATTTCACGAGGGGAATAAGAACTTTTAATATAATTATGTTGACAACTTGTAACGAGCCACTTTTTAAAATAAAAATCATAAACTTTGTTGAAAAAGTTTGACAGTTTTGTTTTTTTTTTAATTAGACTTTATTATTCACGTTTGATAAGGAAAATTTAAGTAGAGGATATTGTGTCGACTCTATTTTAACTTGGGGTGAGAGCATGAGAATGGTGTTGCTTAGGGGACGAGTGCCATAAGTTACTAAGCTCATTTCTGGGTGGATTAAAAACAAAATGTTTAATAATCTTTTGTTTTTTTTTTAAATTAACGTTGAAGTTTTGTCTCGTTCTTCTCCATTCGAAACTATACTTTGGAACGAGCACCTAGTTTTACTGACAGACAAACTGACGGACAATACAATTTGACGATTCAAAAATGTCATATTAAGGATTAATTAAAATAAATGCTTTGACTTTGATTCTGTTCCGTAGTCAATATTTTAATCTCGACTCGATCATCGAAAGGTGGATTGTGTATTAGTTCTTCATGACTAACCATTAAAAACAAAGTTTGTGGCTTCCTGCAATTGCTCGCAACAGTTTCTGAACCACACAAAACAATCCATGTATTGGAATAACTTATTTTGTGTGCGAACTACGTACAGTTTCAATCAGAATTCCGTGTTTAGTTCCGAACTAAAACTGTATTGCAATAAAACTAAACAATTTGGTAGTGTTTGTTGCTTGCTTAGAATGTGGTTGCGTTTTAATTCACTTTCAAGTTTATAAATTAATAGTTTTTCGTGTGATTTCATTTGCGTACGCCAGTAAACAATTTCTTACAGGGCATCCAAATCTGGCAAATACGCCGTTCGTGAATGGCTTTTGAGCGACAGAAGATCCATGACATACTGGCATTTGTAAAATATAATAAAAACATTTCCAAAAACATGGTGAGGGATAAGTCAAAGCAATTTTGAAAGACAACAAAAAAAAAAAATTAAAAGTGATGCTAGTTGCTCATTCCAAGTCGTAGATTCATATGGAGAAGATTGAGCAAGAAACTCCATAGGTTACTCTTTTTCAATCAGATTTATAAAACAAATCTTCAGTTACATAGTTTGTTGGTTCGATTGTGCGGAAACAATATAACACTAAAATCCAGTCAACGAGATCAAAAAAGTAAATAATTATTCACTGGTATACCTACTCATATAGGACTACAGTACCTACTGTCCCTTGTTATCAAAAACCAGTCACAAATTAAAGCCAGTGTAGCTGTCATAAAAAACTATATTCACAAGGCAAAAATAGCCATACTAATATTGACACGGCACACTAGAAAATAACCTCAAAAAGATATTGCAAACAATCCTTACTAATATTATAAATCAGAAAGTGAGTTTGTTTGTTTGTTTGTTCCGCTTTCACACCGTAACTACTAAACCGATTGCTTTGAAATTTTGCAGACGTAAAGTTAGAAGTCCGGATTAAATAATAGGGTACTTTTTATCCCGGAAAAAATTAATATTCCCGAGGGAAAACTAAGGATTGGTATAGATGGCGCTATGTGTATTGGTAGGTGTCACATAGGCTACTTTTATCCTTTTGTGACGAGAGCGAAGCTAAAAAAGCTAGTAACAAATAAACCAAACAAATGAATTGCAATAAATCACAGTTGTCACGTACAACATAATACAATATCTAGAATGTTTCATTATTTTCCGTAGGCTTTCAGGCTCTGGGCAAACTAATGACACTCGTGTGGGTTAATACGAGGTAATTACCAGAGCCGCGGTAAGCCGAAACAGTGTCATGAACGTAATGGACAAGGATGGGCCCAGGGTTTTATAAATTGCAGGATATGGCCGACAATGGGGCCTAAATTGGGAAATGTGGTGTCGTTGTGGTATTAAAAGCAATTATTATAAAAGCACATGTGTGTTATATTGGATAACATATTGAGATTTCTGGCACTCACTGTTAAACAGGAAATCGTGTGTTATACAAAAACTTATACAGAGCGCATCGAACGTCACCCAAACTCTCTGAACTCTGACCCAACCACTAATGGTAAATCACATAAATCATAACAAAATGGGACGATTAAAGCGCAAAATACCTCAAGATTTATTACAATCCCACTTTCCAGTTTTTTTTAAACGTTGCTCCACACTAGGATTTTCTCCTGTGTCGTGTGTGCGTTTACAAACATACAAGTTCACATACAAATGACACCCAGACCCGAAACAACCACCTGTGGATTACACAAAAAGTTGCCAGTGCGGGAATCGAACCCGCGTCACGTTTTGCGGCAGTCAGTTGCCTAGCCACCGCACCAAATGTGCAGTCAAAACAGGGCTACTGTTACCAATGAGGATATGGCAAAGGTTACATACCGAGTGTACCAGCAAAAAGTACGAACCAACATACTTCTGAATGTCACACAAGGAAGACATATTGTAGTAGATAAAGAGTGGTTGTTAGTTTTGTTGTGTAGATGATAAAAAAAGTATAAAGGAACACTAGATAGTTATATGAAGGTTTATAGGAAGTAGCGCTATTGTTAACTCTATAGATCACTATAAAGTTAACGATAGCGCATAATTCATGGCAGAATATTTTATACTAATACATCCTGTATAATAAACACGATAAAAAATTGGCGAAGTCATGCAAAAATATGCCTGCTAACATTTCAGTAAAAAGCAAAGTTTTATTTTTAAAAGTAGAAAACTAAATAACGTCACCCAATTTTCTAAATGCTGATTCAGTCTCGCGTTCAGGTAAAATTTTCTGCGTGAAAAAGTTTAATTTAATATCTTTTAGGTCGCGTTTTTCATATTTTTTGATTATGAAGTCTAGTTCCATTTTAGATGTCTTCAAATTGGTAGGTACGCAGAATTGTATTAATTTTAAAGTCATATTTTACACTCCCAACACAAACCTATGACCATAAATCATACAATTCCAGACCTCGACTTTATCAAACCAGCTCTGTATCAATCTCTGTAGTATTTTACTAATAAGCCTTACTTTTCTGACCTTGACAACAATCACAAACGACGCACTTCTTATAATATCCAATTCTACGAAATCTATCTACCAACAACTACTTCAGTACATACTTAAATAAATATTACAAAAAATATTATTATATTTATATAGAACCTAATATTTTCAGATGCCCCGCCCACACGCCTATACCGCCGCCGCCCCCGCCACCCCCTCTCACCATACCACCCCACAGGTAAAAATAGAACTAGCTCTAGTTCCTACGACATAAATATTATGTCAACTAACGCATGATTAGAAATCCTTCCTCGCAAAAACCTTCAGCTCGACAATAAAAATACAATATTAATACCTGATTCTTATATCAGGAAAGCTATTGTTGGTTTTTCAAAACAAACGAAAACTATTATAACTTTTGGAAGACATACTAAATTATTTATTATGTTTTTTCGGCTTACTCACGTAATTATTAGACGAGGAACTTGACTAGCCTCAAACCATGCTCCAATAGCCCCATCGCGGGTCGCGGAATGCTGCTCATAAATATAATCTAGCACGGCTTGAGTCTAGTCGAGTCGGAAAATATAATAATTAAAATGAAAACTAGATACACCGTAAGAATTAAGTTATGAAAACGTGCTATGTCACTTTGTCTCATAGATATAGTGAGTGCACCATATCACACAACACTTGATAATAAAATTAGACCTAGTTCTTATGACATAAATGTAATGTTACCTAACGCATGATTGGCAATACTTCCTCCAAATAGGTATGACAGCGTGTGAAAAACCTTACCTGTGGACCTGTGGTCCTCTATCTCGGTTTTTATTTTTTGTAATTAAATTTTTGTTAATTTTGGTATTAACTAAAATCGCGAGTTACTCACCTGAATATATTGAGAAAAGCTCTATTAGTTTCGAACCACAGAGGGGTTCTTCCTCATGCGCAGCGTGCGCGGCCGCGGCGCCGTCGCGAAGCTCACTGATCAATTTTGGTATTGATAATTTTATTTTTGGTTTTTTGTAAATAAGTAAAAGCTAATACATACAGCTTACAAATATTAAGGAGTGGTTGCTTGCGAAGATATATCGCATAGATATGACTATCTCTCACTATACCACCCCAAAGGGAAAAACAGAATTAGATTACTCAGTTAACTAACGAATGCTTTCGTTAGTCACTTGACTAAGCAAGCCTCCATTCCTTAATTTATAAAAAAACAAAAATAAAATTATGTCCAGATACGACTTCTTACCGAGGAGAACCTTTGTCCACATTCACAGGTAAGGTTTTTCACACACTGTCATATCTATTTCGAGGAAGTATCTTATGAGCCTTTCACGTCAAAAATGACGTCCATAGAAGTGACGTCATGGTATCGTTTTAAAATTAAATGAACAATTCCAAATACAGAAAATACTAATGAAAAATTATTACGCTAATGATGTGAATAGATTATGAAACAAACATACCAACACTATTCGCAAATCTGTTAATCCCAAATCAGTCGTCAACTAATATAATTAGCTACAAACTATGTAACACATCTATTCAATTGAACATATCGCTTTGAGGGAGATTTCTATTGAAATCGGGATGAAATTGAAATTAACAGAGTATACTAATGCATCTGATTGTGTTCAATCAAGTATTCTGTATCAGGTGTGTTATTATATCTTTATATGTTTATACTGTTATATACGTATTTATCTATTGGTCTTTACAATATGGATGATGACAGGGTATGAAAATTAAAAATCTAATTAGTCCGTTAGTTCAAAAAGGTTAGACACGTATTTTTTATTTTGTATAAGAAAACATTTTTTTTAAGAAAGGAAAATTATCGAGTGCCTGCTCCCGCCTGGGTGAGGCGGGAGGGAGTGACTAAAAACTACCTCGTTCCTTCTCCTGCACTTCGAGCCCCGGTAACCTGTTAAGTTCTTCGCGACTCCGAATCGGCATCAGCCTTATTGGGCCCCATCCGTGGTGGTCTGACGGCTTTTTGAAGTGCGCGCGGAACGCGACGCGCCATACACCGTACGCCATGGTTCTGGTTGGACGGTAAGCCACCCATGCTCGCCGTCCGCAGGCCCGCGCTTACGGTGGCCGGAGATCGTCTCGCGATCCCCAACGCCCGGAGTATCCTTCTCGATGGCTGGGTTGCGAGGAGAAAGCGCTTCGCTGCCTCACTCGTCCCGCCTCCTCCTTAGCTAGCATGACTGCTTCGCAAAAGGAGGAGACGACATCCCAGTCCCCCTCGCTCCGCATTATGACCCTCACTAGGGCCGGACGCGAATAAGAAAACAATTCTTAGATAAAACGAATCAAAGTTTAGAAGTGGGGGTAGCTACGTCATTTTAGGGTATAAATCGTACACAAAAGTGACATAATGCGATATTTAAAATCAATATATTTTCGAAACTCCTAACTTCTTCTTCCGTGAGAAAATAAAAATACGTGTCTAATATTATATAATAATCTACCAGACGGACATTAAATTAAAAATTAGTCATCTACTGTTGTTTATTAATATGATATTTCAATAGCGTAAGCTAGCTTAAGTAATGAATGGATTGTGTTAGTATGCGCATTAGTGCATTGCAAATATAAGAACGTTTTCAGATAGTAATTAGTAAATATTTTAAAATGGCAATAGGCTCACCCCCTATCACATGGGACATATAACATACATAGTGAAAAGTGGGTGTTACATTGTACAGTGGCATTAAGTGCCGTCATGTGCCCCTCTGCCTACAATAACATAACATCACGCCTTAAAAGGTGTGTATGTTATGTTACATATGTTATGTTACTGTTACTTATATAGTTTATTATTTGATTGGTTTTAAATAGGTTATATGTTATAATAACTTTAAAACAATACAGTTGATGTTCAGTCTGGTCAAAATAAGAAAAAAAATTCTAGACACTACAGAACACATGAAAAAGCATTATCAGAAAATTATACTGGTGATCCAAATTCCAAGAGATATAAAAGTCAATAATTTACTTAGTGGAGCCTATAGATATATCATAACATAACATAACGTCACGCCTTTTATCCCCGAAGGGGTAGGCAGAGGTGCACATTCCACCACTGTTAAAATATCATACTGAACATATATATCCGTTTTAGTATTATTACATAACACTTTTAAGACATTACATGTTAATAATTTTTATTTTCCAGAACAAAACACGTGTCTTTCGCTCGGTCTCACACTCTGACCACGTTCGACGACTCTGTAATGCCGGCTGCGGTCAGCGGCAATCGGTTCAGAAGAGACTGCGAGAGACTCATCGATGGACGTGTAGTAAAGGTATGTTAGAATGAATAAGACAAACATTCTAGGATTCGAGAGTTACGACATAAGGAAAATGACCCTAGTCCGTCTCCGGTGGATAAATCATTATAAGAAATGGCGAACGAGCATCTCTACTGAAAGTTTTATATGAAAAATAAGACGAACCAGGGATTATACAAGAGCAATTAACCATGAGCATAAGACATGAACACTGACTTTCAAGAAAGGAGAAAGAAATAAAAAAAACCGTTTATTTATTAATTTATTTACAAGTGTAATTTTATTAATGCTATTGTAATGAAATAGACACAGTTTCATGATAAATAAATGTACAATAATAATACTTAACATTTTGACTTTTAAACTAATTCACAACAAATTTTTTATTTACAGCCAGAACCAAAGCCTTATTCAACGCTGCCGGTGATGTTTCAACCGTTCCCGCCGTACCCACAGTTCATCACTCAACCTGCGCCGGCGCCGATCCACTACCCTCCCCCTATAACACCACACCCTACTCACCCGCCCCCTCCCGTGCAAAGGCCAACGCAAACAGAACAACCTAAAGTAGTCGTATTAGGTAAGTTAACATATTTTATGTTTTTTACCTCCCCTAAGACGTTATAATAATTAAGAATAGAGCAGCGACCGCATTGCAATAAAATAGGGTTGTTACTAATTTGTGGACTTTTGTAAGAGCACTTACGCTACGGACTCAGGGCTCGTACACAAAACTGCGATGCGACATCGCATCGCAAAAATGTGCGAGCTCCCCCTACGCATCGCAAGAACTTGCCAATTGATTCGCATCGCGCATCAGAATCTTATCTGTCCAAAATCTTCTTTGTGTTTTCTCCTGTATCTCCTAAGCAATAACAGAAGTACACAGTTCTGTTATTACGTTTAGTAATACGCTTAGTACGGTTAACAGTCATTGAAGGAATGGTCACCCTGGGAGACGCCTTGTCGCACGAAATCGCATCGCAGCAAATTCGCGTCGTAATTATTTTGCGTTGGAAATTCGCATCGCATCGCATTTACGTACGCAGTTTCTACGTACGCCCGCCACGGTGGCGGAGGATTTATTTTCAAAACTCACGAGCCCGCAGTTTTCTGCGGTCCGGCAGACGCCGCGGTTGCGATATTCGCCCGCGGATGATTATCGCAAGACGAGCGATTAAACAATCAATTGAGTTCCAGACCGGCCTTCCCACCCCATTCCCACTGAGATTGCCCGCCAAGCGATCGCACAGCGCGAGGCTGCAACCAGTCGCGGCTGCGGAAACGCGGCCGCGTCTGCCGTTGCAGCGGGAGCCGCAAACTATCGCCACCTTCGCGGGCGTATATCGCGTCGTGAAATGTGCTTTGATTTTTTACACACATCTGTATTCTACAAACGCTGCGAGCACACAACCGCGGCAGGCGCGGAAGAAAATCGTTTTGCGATTCCGTAGCCTTAAATCTTCCGACACGTCATATCCATTAGAACGAAACTTAAGCAATTTTAATATTCTTTTCATGTTTTAAATCATTGTTCTACAAATTTTATTTCAGATTCTATAAAGAAAGGAGTTATGAGGACTCAAGCAACACAAACAGAAGTTTGTTTAGGTAGAAAACCATTGCCACCGAATTACTTATCCTTGAGCCCTCGAACTATAAAAAGGGTAACGTATAATTCTCTACTAACCTCCTGAAGATCAGCTTGGGATCTGAACTGAATAATAAAATAAACATTTTGAAACCATTTCAGGTTAAAATGGTAGCAGCTGGTGTACAAACTAATGGGTACACGGTTGGGGTAAGAAGGCTAACAAAATCATTCTCTGAAGTGGGGGGAGATCGATTGGCTGGCCGCGACTCTCCAAGTGAAATTGCTACCACAGTCGAGAGGTACATTTATTGAAATATTTGTACTATTTATTACAAATAAATTGTTTAAGTACGGTTGGCTGCCGCGCAACGTGTCATGGGTTCGATTCCCGCACGGAACAACCTATTTGTGCGTCACGATTAAAAGAAAATATTATGTTTAACGACTCACTCACGTAACTGTTTACGCGAGGAACTCTACTAGACTATACCATTTCGTTGACACATATCTATTAAATAATATTTTTTTATGAACTACGTTTAAAAAACCGACTTCAACACCCTCTTTTTTGAAGTCGACAAATTAATATACTAAGACCTTCTCCTAAGTGTAACAAACGCTTTTGAAACTGAAAACCACATCGAAGTCGGTTCAACTAATCGCGAGATAAAAGCACTAAAACATACATACATACAGGTCCAACTGAAGTCGGTTATAAAACCATTCATAATTTACAGTTTCATCACAAGCGACCACGAGAAACTACACAGAACTCAATCAGAAGAACCACCAAGATCTCCTCGGTCTCCCACCGCTATGATAATGCCTTCATCTCCTCTTCAACGGGGAGATTCCGACGACGTAACATCTTCGTCAGTCAAATCTGTTGCATCATCATCACAAATAGATAAATCATCCGAATTAAGCGCCTTGCAGAGACAGGCTCAAGAATACTTCCAACAGAACTTCCAATTTATACACGAAAGTGATAGAGACGATACAATCGATGACGATATAGAAAACCTTGAAAAAAGTATGGCATTGAATCGTAGAAACCTTGAGTATCTTCAACAAGAGATTGCCAAACAAAGCAAAGGTGACAAATCTCTCAGATCTATTCTTTCCAAAAGTACCAGCGATGCTTCCCAAAAGACAATAAACTCTTCGCATCCATTTTCGAAAACTTCCACTTTTCAATCGGAACCTTCCACTGAAACTTCTGCAACCACAACTGATGACAGTGAAAAGAATGAGAAGGAAATAATAATAGACTTTGAACCAAGACCTGATGATGAAGCCATTCCATTTACAACGCTTCGTAGGAAAAACAGAAGAATGTTGCAAAAAACTTTGTCCGAAGGAGAAATACTTCTAGATGTGTAAGTTATGTGTTATTTTGTATCAATATGAATATAGTATTAAATGATGGCAAGAATATTCTACAGTTGATTACTTAATTCAAGTGATTTATGGTTCTCTTTTTCAGACGAAAAACCGAACTACAAACTAACGGTGATGGTATAAAAGACGCTCCCATAGTAATGTCAACAAGTCAGGAAAATATGACGCGAGAAGACCGCGAAAGAGAAGCAATGTATACACAGTATGTTGGTCAAAATTACAGTCAAACTCCTATAAAAGACGAAGGTATCTTTGGATTTGAACCAGATGGCTCTTTCAGGTAACAGATGCGACTTATATTTTTTGCTATCTTGTACATAACTGAATTTAGTAATTTAAACACATAGAAATTAGGACCATTGCACATTACATCCACCGACTGGCATTTTTTTCTGAGCATAGGTCTTTATAATAGCATTTTCTTCTATTTTCTTACATTCAAAGTATTGGGGCTTCCGAATTGAACGCTATGCTTCTATCAGCTCTCATTCATGTTTCTTTCCATAGTTCTTCAGATGGGAATGCACCATATGAAGATTTTCATGAGAAATACATTAGTTACAAGCATGAACCATTTAGAAATCGAAGCGTAAGTTTTGAAGAAAAGACAGAAATTATACTTGACAAGGACGAAATTCCTGAGAGCAGGTATGCACGCATCACAAATTAGCTGTACCAACTATTATGGTTTGCAAAATTAGCAGAGCATCTTGAAATGTAGCTTTAGCAGTACTTACATTGTCACATTTGCCAGTTCTACATTAAGAACCAAAGCCAAATATCATTAACTCAAATCATTCTTGTATCTCAGAGTCAGAGTAAAAGTACGTCATGAATTCGACAGACTTTTGAGAAGTTTTACTTTGTTTTAATACCTATTTATTTCTTCCAGTACCGCAAGGTCGAGCCCAGGATCACCAGAACCAGTTACCATTGAGGTAGATGTAGACCAAAAAGTAAAACGAGCTGTTATTTCTAACACTGTCACTACTATTTTAACACCTTTGGATAAAGTGTCACCATGCGCCTCAAACGAATCTTTAACGGTTGACCAAAGCAGGTTTGTAAGATAAAAATTATACCAAACAACATAGTTTATTGCAGAATGACACATACAAATTTACTATTTTTAGGGACCATTCGGATGGAATGTGGAATGAATCACAAACGACTGTTTTGCAAGTTGATTCGGGAACAGAAAATGGCACTGTAATAAGGTAAATGAAGCTAATTTGCTAGTTTATTCAAAAATATATCTTATGCTTTTAAACAATAAACATTACATTTACAGCTCATCTGATCTTAGTTCATTGGCTGCATCGCCAGGAGCATTGGCATTGTTAACACCGACTTCACGACGAAAGCAACTTCTACTTCTTCAACATCAACAACGATCTTCTTTAGACACAGATGCATTGGATGAAGAGTTTGACGCCTCACAAGTATGAATTCAATTGAAATTAGATTATAATAATGATCGGTTTTCAAACTAATGTTTTTGTTTATTGTTTAATAGAGTCAATCGCCGACTTCACCACGCAATAAACTAGACACATCAAGTTCTAGTTCCCAAGCTCGAGCATCGCTATCTCCACCTGCAGTCGTTCCAAACATTTCACTATCTCTACCTATAACGAAACAACCAACAATATCAAAATCAATTTCTCCAATAGTACCTTCAAAAGTGAACCACACACCTGCAATTGCCATTACCCATCCAAGCCTAGACCTGGCTGATGTACCATTCAAAAGGACTCCCAGTTTTATAAATAAAAAACGTGAAAGAGCATTAAGTCCGTCTAGGAGAAAGGATTTGCAGAAAAAAGCTCAACAAAAAGAGCCAAATGGCACGATACCACATCAAATAGTTGAGTCTCCATCTGAGGCTCCATTAGCTAAAGCTGCTAGTAGTGAAACTAGCTTGGCTAGAACTGATTCAGGAAAAATTAACACTACTGACGTATCAGAAAGTACAACAACGACTGAAGATTACGTCACAGCAAATTCAGATAGTTCGAAAAAAAGCAATAGTAAAAACCCAAACCAACGTAAGTATTACAACCGTGGAGTTAGGAGTTACTCATTAGTTTCTTATAAATCCATTTTGCTTATAGATCCAGAAAATAACAAAACACAAGAAGGGTCGTCTTTTGAAAGTGCATCAAGTCTTTATTCTTCAACCCGCACTGAAAATATTGCCGAAGATATGGTCCTACCCAGTTTCTCACCGCCTTTAGAAATCAATGATGACTTTATCGTTCCTGATCTTGCATCGCCCCCGTTACCCTTGCCTGATCGGTTACCTAGAGTATCTATGGAAAAAATTGAAGTCAAAGCCGACATCACTCCGACCATTGAACACATCAAGAGAGAAAAGACTGATATTAAAATTAAAGACAATTTACCAAAAGTTTCCAAGGTACGTTAGAGAGTTTACTCTCTGTAGCAACCCATACTTATTATTAGAATTACGTTCATTTATTGTTGACTGTGTACTGTATTATTTTTTAGACTATGCGTGGCACAATTAGTGGAAAGAGTAGTTCGAGTGGAAGTTATAGTATAGGTGGATCAAATCCGAATGTTACTGAAGATGTTGATGACAAAACGCCCACTGAGAAAATTGTTGAATTACCAGAACGCAGTGATAGTAAAGGAAAGGAAGACAAAACGACTGCTACAGTTCCAGAAAAAGACCAACACGTGCCAAAAATGATGGTAATTAGTAGTTTATGTTTTTAAAACATAACATCACGCCTTTTATCCCCGAAGGGGTAGGCAGAGATGCACATTATACCACTGTACAATGTAACACCCACTTTTCACTATTTATGTTATGAGTCCTATGTAATAGGGGGTGAGCCTATTGCCATATACCGGGCACATTTCCAGACTCCGTGTTACTACTGAAATTTTTAAAAACCCAGTAATACTTTGCCCGACACGGGAATCCAACCCGAGACCTCTTGACCAGCAGTCGCAATTGCGCGGTGCGCCCATTCGGCCAACGAGGCAGTCATAGTTTATGTTTCTGTAGCTTAATTTTTATGTGCATCTTGCAATAACTTGTTGTATTTGTTGCAGGGTTCTTTATCTGATGACGAACGAAGCGTTCACTACTCATCGTCAGGCTATTATGAAAGTCCGGTGGACGATGATGACGATGGAGGTTTAACGTATAAGCATTCACAAAGATACAAATCATCAACCAGACCCAAATCTTGGTTAGCAGACGAGAAACGAAGAAAAAAGAAGGGATTTACCTTAGAGTTTTCTAAATCTTATGATGATTCTGTATCTACATCTCAAGATGATTGGGGCAAAAAGTCTGAAGACCCAGACAGTATTAGTCAAAAGTCAGAACGCAGTATTTTCAAACCATCCAATGTTAAGTCTCCACAGGATGAGAAAGCACCTGAAACTAGAAAGAAGAAAACCCACTTTGCAGATAAAGCTAAAAGCGTTCAGTCGTCACCAAGAGAGCCAGTAGACGTAGAAAAGTCTATCAAAGAAAAGAATATAAAAGAAAAGGAGGGTGAACCAAAACGCCCCGCTGAAAGAGAACGATACGTTAAAAGAACTAAACTAAAACCTAAAAGTCCAACACAGAGTAAAACAGTTGATGGGAATAGTCATAGTTATAGACCAGTTCATTATGATAGAAGAGAAGCTATGGGTTCTAACATGAAGTTACATTTAAACATTCCAACATCAGACGATTCAAGTGAACAATACAGGAAAGAAGGTAATATAATTTTTCTGTGTCACATAAATTGAATTAAATATACCTATTACACCTACTGGTTGCACATCTCTGCATCACCCCATGGTTGACTGTTAGAGAATGCCACCCGGCATTAAGTCCGCCATCGTATGTTTATTATACAGAAGTGTTAATAAATAAATAAGGACTGCACGGTTGGTGCGGTGGCTGGGCAACCGGGTGCGGTGGCTGGGCAACCGGCTGCGGTGCAACGTGTCGCGGGTTCGATTCCCGCGCGGAACAACACTTTGTGTGATCCACAAATTGTTGTTCCGGGTCTGGGTGTCATTGTGTATGTGAACTTGTATGTTTGTAACCGCACCCACGACACAGGAGAAAATCCTAGTGTGGGACAACGTTTTTTAACAAAAAAAAGAAATAAAAAAATTTGAAGATAAAATATAAAGGTTTTAATTCTACTTATTCATAATGGTACATTTTAAAAATTATACTTTTCATGCATCAGGTACGAGCAACGGTAACATATCTCCAAGAAAACATCGCCGATTACGTGATAGTCCGCGAAGGAAAACTGGAAATAATTCTAATAATGCTAAATCTCCTACTACTGCGAATAGTCATGCGGTTTACAGGTAATAAATAAATCAGTCTAATATACTTTTAACTCATAGTAAGAAATACGAAATGTAATTTTACATATTATTTTAGGCCAAGAAGAAAAAGTGGTTCGAACGAGAGCATATCACTCCCTGGTAGTTTACCGCGAAGGAAACAGTCAATACCCACGGTTCCTTGCTTAAGTTCTTTAGAAGCGGAGGATATAGAAACAACAAGAACTCTTACTAGTGCAGGATCAAGATTGACTCCCCTCCGATATATAAAAAGTCCTAACACATCACCTAGACACAATCGGAAACAAGATCGAGGTAAAAAAATATCGTATTAGCTGAAGCTTTTTATTTTACAAACATAATACTTTTACCAGAATATAAAATAAAATAATATTAAGTATACATAATCTCACTAAACTATTGTATTAAGAATATCTACGTATATGTATGCGTAAATGCCATTCTGCATGATATATTCTATCTACTTATAATTAAAATTAAATAATTATTTTTTACTAATTTAGATGGAAAATTTGCCAAAGCCGCATCAGCAGAGTCACTCCGCTCTGTATCACCAGGATCAGATTCAGTGTTTTATTCAGAGCAAACAGAGCATAGTTTAGTAGGAGCTGATGGAGAATCAAAGGCACATTGCTTACACTGCGGTAAAGAAGTTCACATCGTTACTGCTACCCACGAACATGACAGTGTAGCCTCCAGGACATCTCATACTGACGTAAGTCAATGTCGCAATTATACTTTTTATCTTACTTTCTTAAATAAATACTTAAATAGATTTTATTACGAAACGAAATTGAAAACTGAATGCTTTTGATTGGTGATAGGAATCCTACGCAGACGCAACGCCGGATATTGTACCAGCACCAGCTGGCTTTGCAGACTCTCCATCTTGTGCCTCAACTAAGAAACATGCAAGTGGAGCACGACTTTACAAGAAACTAGATAAAAGATATCGTTCTGAAGACAAATCAAGACATTACTACCGCAACAGACAAGATGTTCGAGCGAAGGTATTACCAAAATCCAATAAATTCTAAATAAGATATTAATATATCCAAAAAGCCCATATCAATATCCTTTGATAAATTATTGCTTAGAACATTATATTTAGCACACTCTTTCTTATCTTTATCGTATGCATATCCCCATCGGCAAATACATTTGAATGAACCAGGAAGGTTTATACAATTTTCTGATACCCTATTACAGTTATGTTGGCCTGTAGCACATTCATTTATATCGACACACATCCCAAATTGAGATTTCCATATAAATCCCTCTTCTTTACAATTACATGAAACATTCCATTTGTTCTCAATTATATCATCTAAGTTCTGATTATCTTTACGATCAAAGCGACAAGTTCGAAGACTTTTGTCTTGGCTATCAGCGTTCTCAATGAAGCAAGGATTGTCTTCATTTTCATAGCACTCTGATACTGATTTTATATGTTTTAATGGACAACAAGGATCAGGACAGAAGCTATACATAGCACAAGCAAACGAGAATTTGTCATCTGAGCGAGGATCATGATTGCGGTACCCAAACGTGGAATCTAAGCAATTAGCAAAATTATCACACGTTTCTCCGAGCATAGATAGAGCAGGAATACCTTTCATTGTGTACCAACACATGTAGTAAGAGGCTGACGTTCGCCATTGGAATTTTTCTTCAGGAGCATCAAATGGAAGACCAGTTTTTTCTGCATACAATAGAGCTTGCTTACAACTATCATCCAATTCAGAAATAGAAGACTCATTAATGTGTTTTTTCTTCTTATTCAAGGTTGTTGTTATGTCATCGTTTCTAGTAAATGGAGCAGTTTCAATTACGCTGTATAAATATTTTATGCATTCATAAAAGTCTTTATAGCAATTTCCGTAAACTTTCCAATGGACCGCGTTCAGACTTGGGTCAGGAAAAGCGTGATAGAATCCCACTGATGCATCTTGAGGTTTCTCTGGGGAATATCTCCGATCCCATTCGTTGAATTTATGATTTCTTAGAAAATATGCAATATCTTGTAAGGCGTTTACTAGCCATTGATCATCAAAAACTAAAAATGTTGATTCTTCTGATTGTTCTTCTGGCTTTGGAAAGATTGTCGATGATGACGGATTTAGAATATCGTCTAATGCGTCTTCAGTTTTGCATAAACAAAAATGTTGATCCATGTTTATACACAACATAACAATGGTACAAAGAAATCGCAACACAATCACCATATTTTGTTAAGTTATTGTTATTATACAAGAAATCGTTATAGTTTACATACTTACAAGAAGATGTTTAAATGTCAAAAAATTAAAATTAAAAATAGAACAATTTTTATATTTGTGGTCTATTCTAAAAAGTTTTATCAAATAAGTTTATAATTATGTAATACAATGTAATCTTATACGAATTCCAATATAAAATGAACATTGATAATAATTTTCTATTTCATTTTTCTTTATTGTAGTCTGAAGAAAGAGGTAAGGAGGAATATGCTTCGGGTGAGAAAACTCAAGATACTCGCATAGCAAGATCTGCTGGAAACAGTTTAGACAAACTGGGAGGATCCAGCGCGAGTGTGGATCCAGACGGTTAGTGTGTTATCCATTTCTCTGTTAATTAAAAAAAATATATATGCATTAAAATATCTGCATAAATGAATGTATTAGGAATAAAATGGATATTAAAATATTTTTGTATAGTACAGTTTTGTTAACTCTTTCTGAGACCCATTTTTGTAATTAACACTATTTTATTTGTTAATTTATAGAACACGAAGAATGTTCTGGAAGCTCTGAAGGTGCTGAAGGTGGTCGAGACGAAAAAGGAATTTATGCTGCTCCCTGGTGGTGTGGAAACTGGATCATGCTATCTGAGAACAATGATCAGTGGACCAGGATTCCTCCAGGTATTAACTACTATAAATATACGATAATAATTATATTAAAAGTTAACCTGTTTTACTGAGATAACAATTATTGTAGGTGCTTTCTAAAGTACTGCTTCGAGTGGTCGCAAGATCGACTGCCGGGCAAGGGGTCTCGGCCTCTCGGGTTCATTTCTTGGGTAGGGCAGAGTATTACAAAAAAAATCTTAAAAAGATAAATACTACTACTTAAATATGGGGATTTTTTTACTGCACCTCTATTTAGAAATTTAAACTGTCAAACACCAAGCGGTCACCGGTGACCGCAACCTATTGTTCTATAATTGTGTCTATAATGACGGTACTCGACGAGTTAAGCAAACCAAATTTCTACCTACATATCAAACTAATCTACTGCATATCAAAAAAATGACTGTACTACAAATTTTAATTAACTACATATTACTTATCATAAAACAAAAATACTGATTTGCACACAAATTGTTCAATATTACAAAGGAATTTCCAAAATAGGTTAGGTTAGGTTAGGAATTATACGGGCCGGCACTGTAATGCGGGGCTGCGGATGAATTTGGACTCCCGTGGCCCCGCACGCACGTGTGAGGAGACACTGGGGTGGTTTTTGCCGGTAAGAGTCCGGCACACCCCTCCGCCTTTTCCCAGGCGGAGGCAGTCCATGAGGATTTCCCCCCATAAAAAAAAAGGTTAGGAATTATTAGATTTACTTTTAGTTAAAATATAGTCGTTCAGTATAACAGTTAAGCTTTAAAGGTCTAACAGTACCTATAGTATAATTGATTTATTTGATGAGCAAATTTAGTGTACAATTCAGTATAGTATAGTGGTAATTTCGAATATTTTGATTGAAAAAAGGGAATTTGCAGTTAAAGTATTAACTCGTCGAGTACCGTATTTATAGACACAATTATAGAACAATAGGTTGCGGTCACCGGTGACCGCTTGGTGTTTGACAGTTTAAATACCGTCCCTTAAATATTACTATACATATATAAGTACTACTACACTAACTTATCCATGAGGTAGTCAAAATGGGCTAAACAACTAAAGATAGAAGAGAAGCGGAATGGAAAACACGTATGACTAACTATGACACAATTGCTCTAAAATAGTTGTCGTCAAGAAAGACTATTTAGATCTCGCCCCAAATCGTAGAATAAAAACAAAAATTATGCTCGATGACTTCATTGAAAATAAGAATATCGGAATACAGATAACATCAATTTCTTGGTCACGATTATTTAATTGTCCTTCAAACGAATATGAACTTTATTTCTTTTTAACCATGAATGATATTTTTATGTAAAATCCAACAGAAAAAATATCATTATTATCATTCCAAGAGTTTGATATGCCAGACAGTAGGGCACTATAAATTAAATGAAATTGAAGGGAATAAATATAAAGGGAGTTACTTGTCTCAGAATTTTGTTAAATTATCACTATTTCTAACAACTTATTATTATACTAATGTAAGTATATACAGCTGTAATATATTATCTTCAAGAATGGAGTGAATAGGTTTATTAAGGGTCAGCAAGCGGCATGTAATGCACCATGTATTGTAAGTATTCATAGGCTCTTACCATCAGGTGGGTTGTGTGCTTTTTGGTACGGACGTGGTATAAAAAAATATTATTTGTTGGACACTATATTTATCATTATCGATTTTTGGCTCAATAATACTTGTTTGTCAACAGATGTGATTGACACTGGATCGGAAGCTGGGCAAGAAGACCCGACTGAATCAGAATCAGAATTCAATAAGAGATACGTGGCTTTGACACATAGGCTAGTGCACCGACGAGCGTGCATTGAACTCAACAGACGACAAGCAGAAAACAGTTTTGGTAAGACTGAAATAATAATTATTTTAGCTAAACATTACATTTAGGGCCCTTGAGGAGTTACCATTATTAACATAATTCTTGAACGAAAGCCATTTACAGTAAAACTTGTTTTCGCTTGTATTTGAATTACCTATTCCTTTTTATATTCTGAAACAATCTTTTTAATTCAATAAAGCATAAAATTGATGTTTTATCTTTATCGTTGCTGGTTAGTAAGAGCATCATAAAGCGAACTTCATGATCGCTTTTACCGTCTATATAAAACCCTTCATTCCACGGCAGCTATTATAAAACAGGTACCGTATTGCGTCATTACTATTAACGAATAGTTAACCGCTCCACTTCGGAAGCGTGACGTGCAAAACTATTCCTAGTATTCTCACATTTTTAAATAGCATCACCTATTATTTTAAGAGTGTCCCCTGAATTCCTTGGTACATCCATGTCATTGGCACAGAAAAAAATTGGCTGCCAATGTCGTCATCTCATTTTCCAATATTTTTTATGACCTTGACACGAAAGTAATGAATTTTAATGGACCATGAAGATGAGTCACGCGATCAATTTTAGTTTCAATCAGTGAAAGGTACGGAATCGTTTCAGAATCAAAACTGACCGAACTGTTGCGAACTAAAATTAATTCTCGTAGCGTGTTTGAACGTCAGTGTTCAGTTGTTGACGACACGCTACTGTGGCCAGATGATATTTTTACGTCTGACGTTCGGCAAATGTTTAGTTCGTATTGATTTTACATAGCAAAACTCGTCTAGACGACGGTTAATGACGTAATTTTCATGCAGTCCATGCGGACAGTTAAAAGTGACATACGCCGGTTCAAAAGTTCAAGTGCTTAGTTTGGACCATTGGATTTTTGTTGAAGAATGGGCATTCATGTGAGTAAATTTTCTCGTAGTACAATCACTGAAGTTACAGAAGGTGAAGCAATAGTTACAGTTTAATATTCTGTGTTTTAGTTAAAGACATGTTGAGCTCCAAGGGGAGTATAAGACAGAAATTGGAGGAAATCCTCAAGTTGATGCTGATGTTATGGTGTCGGCAGAGTCAGATTAGCAGGCTTGTGGCTCCAGAACCATGCGGTAATACTAAATGAAAATATGTAATAACCGTATTTTAATCTAATGCTTTATTAATTAAAATAATTGTTATAGCTTTAATGAGTGTTCCTAAGGGCATAATGTTATTGTCTTCAATATCGACATGTAATAATTTTAGTTTTGTAATATTTATTTTGTTAGTAATATTGATAAAAATCTTTAACCTTTAAAGAATTTTGTGTAAAAATACTAACACCTACTTACAACTCTCTGAAAATTATTAATGTCCACGTGTTGAACGGTATGTGAAATAATAATTAATAATAAAAAGTAGTAACAGAACGTTATGTCACTAAACTCACTTGGACAGTAAATGACCGTTGGTATACTAACTGCATTTTCTGCATTGCATGAATGAATAGTCTCAGTACAAATCTCCTGGGCAATAGCCAAAAGCGAAAGTTTTTCTGCAAATATTTGGACGGACATGCTCTTACCATCTAGAGTACGTATGTGTGTCACGGCCAGATTTCCTCCGACGAGTTTATTGCCGCTTCTAGGCCGACATCATTGTACTATTTAGATAAGAAAATAAATATTAGGCCGGGAATGACGCAAAGAAAATATACAGCATAGCAAACTTATAAGTCTATTGTTAGGCGATTATTGGTTTATTATTTCGTTTAACTATTATATTCGACTAATATTTACTAACCGTTTTACTCGTAAAACGTTTTTGCTGTAAGTGGCTTTCAAGAGTTTTGGAAGATTTCGATGTTCGTAAAAATATTATGATTCGTATTTATAGTACATACCTAAGCTTAAATTGAAGGTCTTATGGATCATCTGTTATTGCTATCAAATTCGTTTGACCGTAAAACAGCATAAATGGTGTGATTTATTTTAGTAGTATGTACTTAATAAGTGTGGGGTTTTATTTGTTCAGAACTCTTTTTACCAGACTCTAGGAAGGGTATCGTTGCCTTTTTTTTTAGACTATATGACCTTTATAATATAACCTCGTTGGCCGCAAGTGTCACTATTGGTCAATGGGTCTCGGGTTCGATTTCTGGGTAGGGCAAAGTAATACTGGGTTCTTTTTAAAAAATATTAATAGTAGCACGAAGTCTGGAAATGAGCCCGGTATATGGCAATAGGCTCCTATTATATAGGACCAATAACATAAGTAGTTAAAAGTGGTCGTTACATTGAACAATGGCATTAAGTGACGTAATGTGCACCTCGGCCTACCTCTTCGGGGATAAAACGCATGATGTTATGGTACGTTATAATATAACTAATTGAAAATGTTATATTATTAATTGATATTCCTATAAATGCACTTTTTGGCTTCTTTGGTCGGGTACCATCTTAACTAAGTCAAGGCATGATTGTAATTGTTTTTCTACAATTTACAGAGAGCGACAAAACAGTGGTAGTAAGGCGTGGTAACGAAGAATTTGGGTTCCGAATCCATGGGAGCAAGCCAGTTGTGGTATCTGCTATCGAACCTGATACTCCTGCTGAAACCTCCGGACTTGAAGTTGGAGACATTGTTATAGCTGTGAACGGTAATATTCTTTCTTTATTAAAATTGAGGTCTGTCCCATCCCCAATAACTTGTTGCTTATAAATTGGCTGTTAACACATACATAATCTACTATATAAAAATAAGTTAGGTTTTTCTTCCTGACGCTATAACTCCAGAACGCACGAGCCGATTTCCACGGTTTTGCATTCCTTGGAAAAGTCTCGGACTCCGTGAGGTTTAAAAAAAAAGAATGTTATATAAAACGAAGCCATCTGGTGGCGAAACGGAGGGTTCGCTGGGTTTGCTAGTTGTGTATTTAGAGTACCGATAATAGAAACAAGGGAAGAATATTAATGTTTCCTTGCGTTTGAAAACGAATAACAACATTCGATAGGAATTTATGAAGAAAGCCAGACTTGTTCTTGGGGCTTTTAACCCGTCGTGTGTCTAAACGTGGATCCACGAGAGACACAATGTATATTCTATTGTGTCTCATATCGGTGCATTCAAACGGTTAAATGTGACAATACGAAGCCAGAATTACATTCAAAAAGGAAGATTAAAGTCTTTAACAGTTTGCATTCAATTTGAAAACAATAACAAAGAACGGCTTGATTTAATACCACATGATTCGGAACTGGAATCCAGCTTACACTTGCATTTCAATTGGAAAATTTATAACCCAATAAATCCACTTGATTGATTTATTGCGGTGCATAATGTTCATCAATATATTTACAGGAATCAATGTCTTAGATAAGACGCACTCGGAAGTGGTGAAGATTGCGCATTCTGGATCGGAAATTCTTGAATTGGAGGTGAGTTTTTATCAAAGACACTTTTTTAAAATGTTGCTCATGTGAATGAAGAGACGAGTAGGTTACTTCATTATGGAATGCTATTGAGTTTTTTAATTTCTAACGGATAAAGGCCTATTGATATCCTTGGCTACTGATAGGTACTTTAGTTTATATTTTTGCACATTCTTAAAGAATGCGTAGAAATAAAGTCACACAGAGTGAATAGGTTGCTTATGGGACGACGTGCTCCATCGTAGAACGCATCATCGCTTACCACCAGGCGAGATAATGACGTCGGCCCATCAAAAACAAAAGAAAAAATAGTGTGCCCCAAAACACCCATAGAAACTTGGAATATAACCCAAAGCATAATAACCACTTAATCAAAGAAGCAAACAAGATCCATGAACTTAATTTATTTAAAAAAAAACTTTGCCCCACTCTAGGATTTTCTGCTGTGTCGTGAGTGCGTTTACAAACATACAAATTCACATACACACGACGCCCAGACCCGACACAATTTGTGGATCACACTAAATGTTGTTCCGCGCGGGAATGAAACCCGCGGCACGCTGCACGGCGCACCAATCGTGAAGTCAAGATTACAAGATTACCTTATTAGAGAATCAAACATGTTTTATTTGATAATAAACATTCAACCATAAACATAACAGTGTAACATCCGTTAAATCAAATCAATCTAGCCATATCACATCGTAACCCATTTTTGTGAACTCATTTTGTTTGTAAGTGTAACATACAAATACACATCCATGATCGTAAATATTTATACTTTACTGCCGCTTCAAGATGGTTTTCATAGATTTTAGGTTAGGTTAGGAATTCACTTTATCTACTTTGGAAATTTTGTTGGTCAATTGGATACTTTAGCGACTATTGAGTGCTGGATTTTAGGCTTGATTTTCAGGTCAATTATAATGTTTTTTTGAAAGAAAGAAAGGAAAATGGTTTATGCACACCGTCACAAAGTAGGTACAATAACACAAAAAATGTAAAAACAGTAAAGACGGCGCAAAAAGGGCAGAACTCAGCTTAAATACTGTGACCCGAGAGCTCTGGAGTCGCGGCGCTGATTTACAGCATTACTGTTGTTGTATTTGTAGATTTCAAAATGATCACTCTTAATAGAACGGACTCTGGAATTGTCCCTAGTATAAGGCAAATACGGCAATGCGTCAATTCAATATTACTAAATATGTGCCTCCCTCTGTGAATACTTGTCATACTACCTATATTATTTTACTTTATACTTATGCTGATAGCTAATATTTCTATCGTTTTCCTCCAGGTGGCCAGAACATGTGAGGTGGTAGCCTCGTTAGCTCATGAAGGAGGACCTGCAGCCTTATATTCAGGGTATCTATGGAGGGCAGCTCCAGCAAGACCTCACCATCCTCCACGTTGGACCAGACGATGGTTCGTCCTCAAGAGAGACAACTGCCTTTATTATTATAAGACAGATTCTGTAAGTATTTTTATGTGTTATGATTTTTTTCAAACCTATTTCTGTATGCTAAATATTATTACGAATAGGTAAATAATTCTTCAATATCAAATGCAAAGCATCTGGACGGATGAAAATATTTAATTATTTTCTCAATCTAAATTTTTTTTTAATCTCTACAGCATAACAAACAATATTTATTTTGATAACGAATAACAACCACATAGAAAAATTGTGGTGCTTTAAAAATCATAATTGTAAACAGTGCCATCTATTGATTACAACTTGTATCTCTTGTAGAGCATTCATCCCGTGGGAGCTCTCATGCTTGTGAACTATCAACTGACCGAAGAGGACGCGGGTAGACCCCACGGGTTCCGATTACATCGCGGCGGTGGCGTACGTTTACAACTGGCAGCTGATACTTCTGAAGCGGCCGCTAGATGGCGCGCAGTTCTTGCACATGCCATTGATGCTAGCAATCAGGTTTGTTGCTTTAACTGGTATTTTAATATTTATTTTATTAATGGGAATATTTGTTATGATTCAATACAATCATGAATTAGTTTTGCCGGTTTCAACTGCAGAATAGTTCAGGGGATATTTAATAGATGGCGCTTAACTCATATATTGTTTATTTAAATACCACGTTATCTAACTGCTGTCAACGAACTCTAGGGACTCCATAATAGAAGTTAGTAAGCATTGTAGATAAAATAATGACTACTTCGCTCTTTACTGATAAATGTACGATAAAAAAGTAAGTTCGGCACTTACTTTACCTTCCAAAAATTCCTGTTTAACATTTCCTATGAGTAATTCTATGTACATACGTGCACTTACCTAGGTAGCTACTATGATACATATTGAAAGTACTTAAATAACTAAAAATTTCTTCAACAGTTTGTGTTCATAACCTATGTTGTCTATAGTTCGGTCTTTGGGACGCGACGTGCAAACTATGATTGTTCTTTTGTTTTCAATTTTGAGAAATAGCACGGGTCTAAGCTCGGTTAGTAACAATAGACGTCCTACTGTGAGCCACCACAATGGTAAAGGGACTATAACAACACAACTGATGAAAAGTGCCCACATTGTAAAAAGTAAAAATGTAATTAATTGTTACTTTGGTCATAGAGAAGCTAGGTATACAAATATAAAGAAGTCAAATTTTAGTTTTAGTAGCTCTATGAATGATGTTTTGCGATAAATTATTGATGGCTGTAAATGCGACTACTGAACAATCTCCGATCTTTCCAGTCTTTCGAGAGTATTATTAAGATCTTTGATCTTCGATAATTTTAATATTAGTATGGAGTCTCAAACTCAAATTACACTTGGTGGTCTAGGCTAGCTTATTATCCCTTAGGAAGTCTTAAGTAGTAGGACGTATACCTGAAGTATACCAATGCTGATAAAAGTGGATGTTACATTTAGCGTCTATTCCACCAACTTCCCATAAGTACCCGTAATGTAACTATCTGTCACATAAACTAACGTGACAGATAGTTACACTATTTATAACTCAAGAACGGCTACATCGATTTGGATGACAATTGGTGGGAAGGTAGATTAGAACCAGGAGACGGGCATAAGATACTTTTTCATCGATTTTTTTATTACTTTTCTTCGAAAATCACGAACGGGAACGGAAAGAACAGGATTGCGTGTACGAAGTCGCGGGCAGAAGCTAGTGGTCTGAATTAAAATTACGTAGTGTGGACTATCTATCCAGACATAGTGAAACACGCCCTTAATGACAAGCACCTTTACGTAGCCCCGAGAATATAAGATTTTATTTTTTTGAATTCTTATTGTTAACCGTTTAATATTTTTCTTCAGCGCGATGGCTGGTTGGAAGTGACAATGAGGAATATGAAACTACCGCCATCATCGATACCAAGACCTGATTGTTTCGGTTACCTGATGAAGCTTGGCTCCAAGTGGAAGTCCTGGGCCAAACGATACTGCGTGCTGAAAGACGCCTGCTTATACTTCTACAATGATGGTAACAGCAAAAATGCTTTTGGTAAGTGGTTTCATGGTTAACAACTAATACGATACTTCACTGCCTCGTTGGCCGAGTGGTCGCAATTGCGACTGCCGGGTAAGGGGTCTCGGGTTCGATTCCCGGGTCGGGCAAAGTATTACTGGGTGTTTAAAAAATTCTCAGTAGTAGCACGGAGTCTGGAACTGCGCCCGGTATATGGCAATAGGCTCACCCCCTATTACATGGGACTTATAACATAAATAGTGAAAAGTGGGTGTTACATTGTACAGTGGTATAATGTGCATCTCTGCCTACCACTTCGAGGATAAAAGGTGTGATGTTATGTTATGATGTTATGTTATACGATACTTCACATAAGTTACTTAACATCTAAATAGTATGGTATAAATACATATTAACATACAATTAATAATTAGTCCCATATATTTCAAAAATGCGAAAGTGGTCTTATGAAATCCCAGATTTTGTATTTGGGTTTCAGTTTCCGAGTGGTTTGGTACTATCATAACTGTCGGATCTTAATTTAAAACCTCTGGATGGAAAAATCATGACTTAAGAGTTAGCTAATGCTATTAATTATAATATATAATAAGAATACCTAAGAACCTAATGTACCGGTTACCGGGGCTCCGGCTCGAAGTGCAGGAGAAGGAACGGGGTGGTTTTTAGGCAGTCAGAGTCTGATACTCCCTTTTACCTCACCTAGGCGGGAGAAGTCATTCGATGATTTTCTCTTCTTAAAAAAAGAGTTAGCTAATGTCCAAAAATTGATCCTAATGCAAAAATTTGTACTAAAATAGTTTGTGAATTTCGACCTATTTCGAAGTGCTATAAGGTTCTTATTTCATCTCTTCCAAAGGTATGGCATGCTTACACGGCTACAGAATACAGACATGCGCTCCTGGCGGCAAGAAATACGCTTTCGAAGTGATGCCAACGGAGCCCAAGCAGAGACACTTTTATTTCCATACTGAGTCTGAAATGGATAGGAAACGGTGAGTTTTAATATTCTTTTTTCCTTTAATTATAATAGGAATGATATTAAGTCTATAAACATCGTGAAGAAGCCTAGGAATTGCGATGATGACAGGGTATGAAAATTAAAAATCGAATTAGTCCGTAAGTTAGGTAATGAAAAAATATTAGACACGTAGGTATTTTTTTTATTTTGTCTTATAATAAAACAATATTTAGATAATACGAATCAAAGTTTAGGAGTGGGGGCTAAAACGTCATTTCTACGTATAAAATGTACATAGAAGTGACGTCACGCGACATTCCAAATCAAAATACCGTCGAAAGTGTTCGTATCTGGAAGAAAATAAAAAAATACGTGTCTAATGATTTAAAATAATTTACCAGCCGGAAATAAAAATAAAAATTAGGCATCTACCCTATTATAAGTTCACTATAATTCATGTTACAACTTTCGTAAGACATACTAAATATATTCATTAAATTTTTAAGTTTATTCATGATTTATTTGACGAGGAACTCGACTAGGTTCAAGCCATACTAGAGGCTTAGCATTCATGAGTAGTATTTTTTGAACCGCGACGCAGTGACTGTCGTTCTCCTAATATAAGTCTCTAGACATAGTATGGCTTGAAACTAGTCGAGTTTCTCGTCAAATAATAACGTGAATAAGTCGAAAAACATAATAATTAATTGAGTTCAGTTTAAGACTGTAATCGCCAATCCGCCTTAAGCAAGCGTGGCGATCAGTGCACATTCCTTCTCCGAGTGAGAAGTGGTCTTGGCCCAATTACGTTTACAGGCTTAATATGAAATGAGTATATATTATTCGAGTATCGAGCTTCCATTTATACTTCTCTAAAGGTACTTTAATTACAAGAATCTGCCCTTGGCTACAGTGGCCCCATGTTATAACAATCAACAGATGTTTGTGTGTTTTTCTGTTTTACTGGCATATTTAAATAATTCTTGGTTCTTACATCTGAGTAGATGAAATAATTATAATAATTTGTTTATTTATTTCTCCCATTTCTTACATAATATATAAAATTATAACAGGTGGTGAATGGTTGAAGGGAGCTGGATAAAACTTTGAGCAAAGATAGACGAAGAATAGAAAAATATTATCATAACAAAATGTGTGACATTCATTCAAATGTCCTAGAGTTAGTAATATTGTGTGTGCTTCTTTCGCCTGTGATACAGGAAATTCTTCCTAGTACAGGCATTCAATCGTAGTGAGAAAAAAAAATTAACACATCATATTATTATAAAAATTACAACAAGATCGAATTTTAACTAGTAAAAACAATAAAAAATGGAATTAAGTCAATTACACCATCGTTTTGGACATCAATAAAATAAAATAATAAAAGAATATGTTTCATAAAAGTTCATTAAGTTTGGCCTTAGGCTTACAATCGACTGTTAGTCCGTTCCACTCTATAATATTTTTTTTAATTAATAAATAACTACATCACTAACAAGACCTTAATAATTATAATAACCATTTTATTGCCGCGTTGGCCTAGAGGGATTATAAGTAACTGCAAAGTTTGAGTTTCTACAGATACACTGTTCGATATTAGAATTACAGAACAGCGGAGGACTTCACAGGTTACTGGGGTTCCGGCTCGAAGAGAGTCCAACACTCCTTCTCAACCGAAGCGGGTGAACTCATTCGATGATTTTACACCTTCAAAAAAATCATCTTCATCACCGTTAACAGCTCCTTGTAGTCCACTATGGGTTATCATCCATAGTATAACTGGCTGTTCAGAACTAGTAGTAAATCCACTACTATGGGGTTCCTAAACATAAATAAGAGCTATAATCTCCGTGCTAGGCAAAAGGCTAGCATCTGTGGATTATCTTCCAAAGTTCATTACTTTTATCAATATTCTTAATTGTTGTATCATTTCATTTGAATCCAAGACAGTGTGTTCATATTATATTATGCATAGGGAGTATTTTACGATTTCCCTTTTAGCTCTCGAGCTAAGAGACGAGAGAGTCTCGACTCTCTCGTCTTCGTTATTTGCTTCATTTTGACATTAGTATACCTATTCATTTATTTCTGATATGTGAGATTTTTCGTTCTGTTTGTAATTAGTATTGATGTTATAAAGAAACACTGCCTTTCAATCACATTCATTTGAATGACAGGTTGGCTTGTCTTCAGGCCCAATCGGCAGTTAAAACGTTTTGATAAATTAAACCTTTTTCGATTTGAGAATCCCTTCTCAGTCTGATGAGGATACTCTGATTACATTTCAGTCCAAGATTGTCAACCCTTATAGAACTAATCGTGAATATTGCATGATTTAAACCGGAATACTGAAACGTTACTCAATTATAAGTCACTCTTAAATGTCGTGCCATCTCTGTCATTTTACAAAGAATTTGTAGTGACAGAACTATACTTAAGCGCGACTTATGATTGAGTAACGTTTCAGTATTCCCGGCATAAGAGCCTTTGTTTTAGAAAAATACGCAGTGTAGGTAACCTACATCTTTATTATATTTTTATTTTTTAATGTAATAAATATGAAAGTTGTTCAAAAATATTGTTTAAAAAACCCTTCTTACAATAAAATAGACTGTTTTATAACTATTTTATTAGTATTTTATATTTAATTGTTTTAATATTGTTCTTAGGTGGATGGCAGCTTTGGAGTATTCCATAGACCGATGGATGAAGGCTGGTTGACGTCGGGCCCTCCTCTCGGAAGACTCATTCGATTTTATATAATTTTAGTTGTATTAAATATATCCATTGTTATTCCATTTATTTTGATTTATTATATTTATTCCGCTTAGTGTTTTTAACCCATTTATTGATATTTTACAATATATTATAAAAAAATTTTGAGTAGGTAAACTCGTAACATTGTTTTCTATAAAAGATGAATGAAATCTAATATTAGGTATATCAACTTATCCAAAATATATATATATACATATATATGATTAATTATTCGATAAAGTTACGTGAAGGTTTTAAAAATCTTGATACCTAATTGAAAAAAAAAATGAACAACTATTTCAAATTCTATAGAATTCGAAAACGATAAAATTTTACAATCTGAAATATTTCTATGAATGGGTTAGAAACAACAGCATACGTATTTTTAAACCCATCTTCCTAACGACATTATAACTTAGCGCCTTCCATAATTTAATTGTAAGATTTCACATGGCAATTTTCGAATTTTGCTCGGACATGCCTAGCGTGCAGACAACACTATGAGAAATTAATTGAACACGCTATCAGGGTTCACTAACACACATAAAGTGCTCGAAATTAATCGTTTTATTTCAAAATTATTCGTCAAAAAAATATCAACGTATATGGTATATCTCTACCGACATCCCGTCCTTTGAACCCTAAATCCATGCCAACCGATGCTTGTATAAAGAAAAATATAATTATTCTTTAATTATAAAAATATATTCAGAAAATTATTTATATAATTATAATTATAAATTGCATGTAATTTGTTTCGTAAATTATAATTAAACTTTAAAATATATAAAGTAGTTATCACGGCAACGACGCATCGAAGATAAACTTGTATTAAATGCATAGCTTTAATCTATGTAATTCTAAATAGATATATTAAAATGAAATATATCAATGATGTTAATGGCTAAAAATCATTATGTAAAATGTCTTTTTATACACCTGATATTACGACTGATGAAAATGAGACTAAAAATGGAGAAATAAAAATAAATCAATAAAATATTCCTACTATAGTATACCTTTACAAGTATACACAGATTCTGGAAACGAATAATAAAAAAATGAATAGTAAAAAATATGAATAATAATATCAGAAATTCGAATGAAGTCAAATGATACATGAAACTGAACTTAGGAGTAACGACTGACATCGTAAATATATAAAAATATATTGATGGCAACATCTAGAAGGTAATATAAGATGAAATAATATTCCTACTAATAGTTACATTTACTACATAGGTGTGAAACGTAGAAACATTAAATAATAAATAGTAGGTATCATTATTGATGTGCCAATTCGTTAGTAAATTTATTAAGCCCTAGTTAGAATTTATCTTAAAAAGCACAATCCATTTTATATAATTTCGTCATTTGAATCTGTAACCCTGTAATTAAAATGGTGATTGTTATCAGTGTTGTGAATTTTTCGAATAATTATTATTTATATTATAAGCGTCGTATAATTTTATATAAGTGTGATCATTATAATTTCTTTGTAATGTTGTTGTAAATATCGACAATTTTGATGGAGGGTTACAGAATTTACAGATCACTTTATAGTATTCAAAATTAATGTATTTAATAATTATATAAAATTATAAATGAATAAATATTATAATGATAAATTATTGATTGGTATAATCCCCTTTAGAATGTGGTCCATACTAGGTGACTTAAATTGTGCATTAAAATGATAAAATATAATAGGAAGAAAATAAAAACCGTATTTGATGAATTGTATATAAAATAATCAGTAAAAGCTCAATATTGTATTTAAATAATAAATAAAAAGACTTGATTGTAACACAGTCAGTAAAAGCTTATAGATTAGTAATTGTAAATTAGTGAATGTTTACATAGAAATATATATATAATTTACGTTTCATTTACGGCAATATTTATATATGCACGTTGTTTACAATCATAGTTTATGTTTTATTAATAATTCATAGATTTATCAACAATATTATTATAAAAATGATATACTAATCGTTATTGTAATGTGTTCAATAAATAAGTGGATCAGAAATATAAAAAGAAACCATAATACCTATTTATTCTTATCAAAATGATTGTACCTACTCTCTTGTTCATTTATGTATGCCAAAGAATTTGTGCCAGATTTTATTGTGACTGTTGCCAAATATGATTTTTTTAAATGAAATTAAAAAATTAAATGTTTTATTTAAGATGATAATAAATTATAACTAGTATCAGTCAGAATTTTTTAAATAATATATGTGACTGTATGAATAGATTTCGTTGTAATAAAGATTAAAATAAAATTTATCTACGTTGTTTTATTAAAATACGTAGGTAATGATAGATCATTTTCTGTTTATTTACTTGAAAAATATAAGCGAGTAGAAATAAAGGATTTTTGAACGAATGAAATTCTGGTTCCGAGCTTAAATCAGTATAATAAGTTACAAAAACATTATCAATTAGCGTCTGCAGTCGAAATTCATGAAGCACGATACAAAGTCTGAGGGCGGTGTTAATTTACACGACTTATAAGCTACTAACACGAAAAATAAACAATTCAACGATATCCTTCCCTTTTTTATCGCTCCCAAAGTAAAAACAGTATGAAGGCTTCGGTGGGGCGGCGGTGAAGGCGCGGCGCGCGGGGGGAGCGACGCTACAGGAGCGCTACTGCCTCTGACGACGACCGACAGTAGTACGCGCGCTCAACTCCCTCCAGTCGCGCGCCATGCGCACGCGCAGCCTGAACGCACAGTGATGCCATACTGGAAAAAAGTGTAGTGAACAAACTTGAACCTAACCAAGGATTACAGTGAACAATTTAAAAGTGCATTATTATCGTGAACCCAAGTGAAGAAGTGACAGTTTTGCTACGGCAATAACATTTTTGTTCGGTCTCTATTAACTGTTTTATGGCCTGTACAGTGCGTCTATTGTTGTGTTCGCTTCCACTAATCTCCTATTCACCTGTTTCAACGCCACCTACTGCGGTTGGACTGTGAAATGTGACAAAAAATTGCAATGGCCATCCATTGTACGCATGCGGACGCCAGTTTGTAAACTTTGCGGGTTGACTACCTGACTACTGGAGGGTTGGACCACGACGGATCGGACGATTGATCGCCCAACTGCCTTGTGAGTGGATTTTTTACGATTTTTGTAATTTAATACAGCGGATGTGGAATAAATTGGATAGGCTGGGTGAGCTTTGCTACCTGTTTTATCACGTGCCCCTATGTTATTGTTTTCAACGCATGAGCTTTATAAAAACAATTCTGAGAACTAACGGGGCTGCGGTCTGATCTATTGTTCTATTTTACAGCGCTGTTTACTTAATACTTCCTGCCACCGTGCTAAGCAGTAATTATCTTGTTATTGTTAAAGTACTAACTGCAAATGGGTTTGCAGATCCCAGCTTTTTGTTTCGTCGCGTGCTATTGTTGTGCTTAAGCAATTGACTCTACCGCGGCTACTTTATCTATGGGCCTAACTGTAATATTTAGCCCTTTACTATCTATTGGTTACACACCTTTATCAATGCCATCATTTCCTGTACTTTAAACAAGCACTTTTAGGCCGCTCAGTTTCATCACCCCTTTAGTATCTACTGTGTACAGCTACATTACAATCATATACAAGTTTTCATTTAAAACCATGTTGTTATTAGCTTACTTCCACGTGTATAAAAACATACTGAAATAAAACCAGGTGCAGCAATACTGCACGACATTTTGAACCCTGTTTCAATTGTCGTTCAGGTCAAAACAGCTTGTACGACTCAAGATATTACTGACATTGCCATCTGAAATGACTTCCTTATGGTATTATTCATGCGGGATTGAAGTAAGTACTTAAAGGCTTGTATTGATGGAAACTTCATCAGGAGAAAGATTTTAATTACATGTTTGTTAATAACTTCGGATATGAAATTTTACAAAACACAAAAAGAGCTAAACAACTACAGCAGCTTGAACCTCATATAATTACAGAATCAATTAAAAGTTTCTGTTCTGATCATCGGCTTTGGTCATCATAGCGAAATTTACAACATCCAATCAACGAAACATAATAAAAATCGCTATAAAAACTAATTACGTTTTAGATCCGACTGATGCGTAAGCCTTGACTACGATTCGAAATGCAGGCCCGGTAACTAACAAGTCCAACTTTACTACTAAGGAAAAAGTTGATTGAGTAAAAAACAAATAAGTTTTGTTATAAACTGGAAGCACTTATCCTTGTAGGAAGCTTCAGTATCCTTCGGTTATACTACTAAGAAAACTTTTACAGAATAAAACGTATCGTAGGATTTCTTTGCCTATGACAAACTACATAGTAGAAAATACTTAAAAACCCATAGAAAAATGCGTTTATGTACTCAGTAGAATCTCCATCAACGAAATTACATAAAGACAAAATTCTTTGGTGACGGCCAATCGGTACGCGAAGGAATTTTAATGGTTTCAGAGCTGCGACATGTTTATTCTTCGAGACGTTTCTATACGACACGATATTGATTTATATTGAGAAATTATATTAGAAGGAAAAGCTGAAGATAAAAATACAGAACCAACCATTTTGAATGAACCCCATCGCAATACAGTTACACGTGGCAATAAAACCAGAACTGTTTATCTAGAGCAAGCATTTCTAGATGCTAATACCACTATAATGAAGGATAGTAATGAGAAAACATTACATAACGGTAACACAGTAGAAACGTCGGAAGGTTTTAATTGTTCTGCAAATAGTAGTTAATCTTAACCATCAAGAGATAGCAGTGTAATCTAATCAAAGTATGATAGTTATCAGAACCTTGCGACACCGAAAATGGATGCCGCAATATAACATCAATAAACCTTTATAATTTCCAAGTATTTTATGTATTGTGGTGGTAATCGGGGAATAACTATTAATGTTGATTGACTATTATCTATTGTCAGCCGAGGTACGGAACTTGAAAACGAAGCAGTTACAGACTCAATGGCAGTTTCAAGTCTAGCTGTTACTTCGATTGGTAATGATTGATGTTCCTCTGTTGCTTTCTCTCTGGTTATTGTCTTAAAGCTTTTCAATAAGGAAGACATATTAGACTTTTATATTAAGG